TTAGAAATATTTTTGACAGGACAGCTCACATCCGTAAAGAAGTCCCAGGGCAGTCCAAGGAAACAGAGTGAGAAGGATGTCAACCAACAACCCCCAGGTATGAGGCATTGCTGCTAAGATACTCTTACCATGCTCTGTTACTTGGAACCTTCTAACACTTATCATCCTTCTGGTTCCCAATCTGCTAGTCTATATGCAGGTGACCACATGAGTGACCCAGACATGGCCCATTTGACCAGCGTAAGCAGTGGTTTGTGGGTACTGAATTATTGGTCACCTCTGGTTCTGGTAGTACCCTTGTCAACAATAACCTCTGTAACCACCATCACAACCCGTATTTCCTCCTTGCTTCTTCCCAAACAGATTTTGCCTGCCTGTGACTCCATTCCCTAGGTCCTTAGGCCTGGCATTGATCTGGTTTTTTGATGTACTTGATACAGGAGGGGCATTGATCAGTCATTGTCCTGTGAAGAAGTTATAACCAAACTTTTCTTGCCCTGGAGCATATGAATTCCCTTCAAATTTCAGGCTGCCTGTAGTCTCACAATCCCATTTTGCCTGTCTCACCGCCAGATTTTGAACACCACAAGGTAGTTCCACCTTCTTATCCACTTTTCCTCCTCTTGGAATTCTTTTGTTTTGCATAGTTATCCTAGACTGCTTCCTGATTAACTGATTGAATTGCTAAATGGATTCCTGTACCAATCATCCAGCACTTATGCTTCACTAGTAAATGATTAACTATCTCTTTGTGTTCCAATATAGACTTTGCATATGCCTTATGGCCATACAACTCATTCACATATCTAGCCTCAAGTTTGCATGCTCACACAAAATCTCTGTAAGTCATCTGCTGTTCCTGGTCTCTTTTGGAGATACTGGCATTTAGTGCTTCAGTCTGCATATCAGCATGGTATTGCTTGTGTTCATCTTTAAAGAGGAGATTCAAAAGTTGATTGGTGTAAGTGAGCTGATCAAATGATAAGTCAGGGGTTGGGGAATGGAGTCACTGTCACTACACCAAATGTCATCTTTACCGGGCGGTAAAGAAAACTACTGACATAGAAAAGTCCTGAGGCAACAAGAAGAGAGCTAAAAATCTGAAAAAATATGCACCTTGTTCCTAGATGTTGGGGCGTCATGATGAGTATTTTTTTGTATTTTACACGCAGAAATTGGTTTATGTACTAACAATAAATGCTGAAAATCAACAAAAACTCACATGTAACAATACCTGAAATTTGGGTCATGAGTATGAAGACAATATTTTGTGGTCTAAAAACTTCAATAACTTTTGCAATTCTGCTCCAAATAACTCGATTTGTGGTTCATTCAAAAGCTGAACTATTCTCCTTCACACTTCATAATGTTAGTAAGGTGCTATCTAGTCATTTAAACACTCTACATATGTTCAAACAGTTCTGCATGAATAGCTCTGTAGGATCTTTTTTAGACCAGCTACAGATGTGATGTCTCAATGAAAAATGTAGAGGAAAGGCTCACCTTTTTCATGAACTTCACATCGAGTGATTTGATTCAGGACTGCAAAATTTATTGATGTTTGAAGATTCCAAAATCCTGTCTTCAAAGTCAAGGGCCAAATTTCAGGTATTGTTACAGGTGGGTTTTTGATGATTCTCAGCCTTTATTGTTAGTACATTAACCAATATCTGTGTGTAAAATACAAAAAAATACTTGTCATGACGCCCCAACATCTAGGAACAAGGTGCATGTTTTTTCAGATTTTTAGCTCTCTTCCTGTTGCCTCAGGACTTTTCTATGTCAGTAGTTTTCTTTACCGCCCAGTAAAGATGACATTTTGTGTAGTGTGTGTGTGGAGAGAATTTACCTAGCCAGAATAGGACAAAGTGAAGACAGGTGTATCGGAGAAAATTTTCCATAGAAAACATAATTGGAATTGTCATTTCTTTTTTTCAACAGATGACTGATTGTTTCTGATGAAATCAAGAGAAGAGATAAAAATGTTGTCCCTTGTATGGAAATTAGTGACATATAAGACTTGATGTTCAACAACCTCAATACATTTAGAGAATTTACTTAGCCGGAATAAGTGAAGTGAATATATGTTTGTTGAAGGATATTTCATACTGCAAAGGCACTGAAAATAATCTTGTATATAGTTGAGTTTTCACAAATATTAGCAAGAGTAGATATACCAATATTAAGACTATAGAAACTTTACTTACCACTAATTTTCTGCAAAAGATGAGGAAAGGAATGTGGGGACAAAATAAAGAAGATGTCACCATATACATGAGATCAAATTCAAGATTGATGGTTAAATGATTTCAGAGCATTTTATGATATCAAACCATAAACTTTGACAAAGAAAAGTTAAATGATTGTATGTATTGATGAGAACATTCACTTTACATATGGACATGGCTAGATCCTATAAAAACACATCAATGTAAAAAATTTGGCAAGCATTTTATATGGTAGTTTTATTTGTGACTGATCAGATTGTGATGTAGCATGCTGGGAGCTGTAAGGGTGAGCTAACAAAGGACACACTCCAACTTCAAACCAACCTCCATGTCACAAACTTGGGACTACATAACTTTCCTTGGTTCCTGCTTTTATCTATGGATTCACCAGAATGATTTGAGGTTGAGAAACTCTTACACTGTGGTGAAGGTTTTTGATCTATTTTAGGCCATAGGGTTTAGTTATCACTGGCCTGCACTTACAATATATTTGAACGTAATATCAGTCAATGTACATTTGAAATATAGCAAAATTGTGAAGGAATCAAAACCATGACATCTTCATGATTGATGAGGCATGGTTAAGTTTAAATTTTTGGGGGTACAAGGTGAATAATTTTTCATTATTGTAACTTTAAGTAGCAAGTAATGGATATCAATGAAAGTAAGTCTTGGACTGAGTAGAAATAGAACAATGCTAAAATTGAGCAGGCCACACTATGTATTTGAGCAAGGACTAAACTATTTCAAATGTTGAAGAGGCTGAAGATCAAAAAGAAGGCTGTGTAAACTGTGACACGAGTTCCTATGATGAGACTTCCTTCAGCTTGCAAAAAGATGAAATACACCAAGCATATCTACGGGGCTATGTGTGTAGTACTGCACCAAAACATATGAGTTCTCTGGAAGCAGATAATTGATCTCCTTATAGAATTAAAGTGGAAAATATCAATTATAAAGTATGTGAGGTGCTGATGAAAGGGCCGGAGGAAGGATAATATTGATGCATTGCTCAGCACGTGATAGTTTGGTGCGTCGCAAGTGTTTTATAATCCTTTCCTGATACGGTTGGAATGTGCAAGCAGCTCAATCAATCCATGTGTTTCTGACTCTTAAATATTTACCGCTGTTTACCAGAATCTCTGTTGTCTACTAGCTTTATCTAATGCTAAAACTATGAAGAATATTGCAATTTCGGCATTTGGAACCACACGGCGCTCTATTCTTGGGACACCCAGAGGAAGAGGAGCATACGACCACAAAGTCACGCCACAGGAATCCATGGGTCTTTACCCCAGTTGAAGAAGGTCAAGATGAATGGAAATAAGTTCCTCCAACTCTAGGCCTTGTCTGTAACTTCTTTGCTATGGGTCTGCAAGGTGCCCGAAACTGCCTTTTGAATCAAATCTCATATAGGTAGATACGCTGGTTGATTAAAAACAAAAGAGGCTCAAAGATCTAGCCGCTTTTCCACATCCAATAACACATAGTCTCCTGGTCATCCTGGCCACAATCTCTGAGGCATATGACAGGAAGTTGCACGGGTAGTACGGAGGAGACTGCCATTTGGAACAAAAGAAGAACAAATTGATCATTGATAGTGAAGCTGCAGTACAACGGGAACCGACGAATGTGAGCTCGGACTCAATGGGTAGCTCCAGTTTACTTCGGTGCATCCTGAGGACCCATGGGCCATGGCAAATCTGCTGAAAAGCAGAACCCACTAATTGGGGATCTGTGTATTTGTACCGTGAATGGGGTTGTCTGTAAACAAATATTTGAATTCGGGCAGGTGTCAAGAGAAAACCTTACTGATGCGGTGGGAGGGGGCGATTTCCGAACACATGAGGTTATCGATGAAGACTCAACATGATCGAATGTCGATTCAGATTGTCATCCAAGCGAGCCATAAGTTTGAAGCTCCTCGGATTTCATCAGGGCAAAGCTAGACGCCCAACCTGTTAGAGTCAACTTTCAGTCATCCAAATAATCAGACAGTTTGATTGATAATCTCTTGAGTTCATTAAGTTTCCTGGTACATGCTTACTTTAATGTGTGTTATTGTAGGATGTTAGGCTTGAATTCATGCTGGTGACGGGTCGGCAATCTCGTTTCCTCGCGGACTATCTCCACCTGTAACACTCGGATTGAGGCGGCTCGGTCGTAAGTATTTCATGGACTATATCCGTCCTCACGAGGTGTGATGATCGTGTAGATGCTTGACTTGCTTATCTTGATATGTATTTTATCTGATTAGCTTGATTGGTGGTGTCTAGAGGAGAAGCTATTCAGCAATCTGTAAAACCCTGCTCAATATCAACCTTCATGAACGGACTGAGAGCCTATGAGGGACGTGTGACAGAAATAGACCGGGTCTTGTGGGTTGGACGTCAACTTTGTCGCCAAGGCTGGGCACTTTATCGATGTTATTTGATAGATTAGAGTAACACAGTGATGATGATGGCCATGGTCAGACAAAAAAGAAGGTAAATCTGATTGATGAAGCCCTCCACCATGATAGCTGTTTGGAGATTTGGTCTTGATTGAAGGTTAAGCTCAGAGTTATATTCGCAAATTGCTACTTCATTCGAAGTTCCTTATGACTGGTATTTCCTCGTAAAACGTTACCTTGCCCTATGAATGATTACCTATATCCTTCTTGATGCGATATCCAGACCATATACATCCATCTCCATCCGCTTTTTTACCATTTTACAATTTTCTTCCGTCCCTCAATTTACTGACATGAGTCCAGCCTTCGACTTTCAATTACCCTCATCCTCTCCTACGCATCATCCGCGCCCATCCGAGCCTAATAATTCATTAGATTGACCACCATACCACTTTCCTTTGTCGATCACACTAGCAAAGCTGCCATTCATTTTACTCACTCTCTCGGCTTCGCTTTCCTGGTTTATAGGTCTGTTACGATCATCATAATGCGTGCGGGTTCTCGCCTGAATGTGTAAATAAAGTGATACGGAAGACCGGGGTTTTCATCACCTTGTTTTGACCGTTTGCCTTTCTTATACTCCTTACCACCTTCAATCTCTTCACCCCTTCGACCTCAACTTCTATCTCCATTCACGTTGGCCTTCGTCTGCCGCCCCACACGTGTTGAGTCCATTTTACTGGCCCAGTCATCATGTTCCGTTTCTTGTTGAGATGTCTGTCATGGCATACATTGTTTGCCTGCTTTTGAAGCAGCCAATAACATCCCCTTCCATGTTCGATCAACAGATCTGAAGTTTTCAGCAGCTGACGGGTGTCGTTTTTGAATTCGCTAGTAGGCCAGCCAGTGGGGTTCAACTTTGGTACTTCCCGAGAGATTGTCAATTTGGTCCAGGCGCAAACAGTTCGTATATTTATCTCTCAATAGCATACAATTTTTCTTGTTATTCGACTTGTCGGCTTTGCACCACAAGATATTGAGACGTGAAGTCACATCAGTCGCGTTCAATTGAACAACCTGATCCAGGCCAAATCTCGTCTTGAACTCCTGATGCATGTCATCTTCTATTCCCACCTCCGGTTGTGCTTTTGTTCCTTGATAGGTGCGCATTGATCTTTGTGCAGAAAGAGCAGTGAATCCGAACAAAAGGAATGCAGAGCCGTTTGGCGATCCATTGACAATAGGATTTCGCTCTATGTGCTTCAGTGTCTTACCTTATCAAAGTCACCTCCCCCGTCCATCTTTCTAACTTCTCTCTTGCCTTCTCGTCTAACATCTTCAATTCTCCATCTGATCTACTATATTAAATCGCTCAGATTCAAATCGGTCCTCAACTGTTTTCTTTTAATCCGCCTAGGTCTAATTTGCGGTGACCAGTCTGTTAAGGCAATTTTCACGCACGCTCGGCTCTCATCTGACGCACTTCACCTAAAAGGGTAATCCAACAGTCATCATGAACTCTGACCGGCCATCGTTCACAAGCCGATGGAAAGTACGAGATATCACTCAGCCCATTACAAAATCGGCACACGAATTTGTCCACGGAGTAAACCACCAGGTTTCTCATATTCTAGGCCAATCGGGCCGTTGTCCTGAACGTCGCTTCCGCGGAGACCAACGAGCCGTGCTGAATTCACCTAGTGGCCTGCCGTCCCCGGCATATGACGGGATGGCTACGCATGTTATTCAGATTCCATCTATGACAGACGCCGCCCTCTGCTATCCCAACTACACCCAGGACGCACAGTCAAGACAATCGGCCTACCAGTTCCCTATGGACCATTACGGGCCCGAGACACATCCTGACGGCTTTCACTTTATGGAAAATGGCTGGCAACAACCACAACACTCGACGCAGTATATAAACATGGAGCCTGAAAGCCCACCTCCATTCTCTCCTTCATACTCATCGTCATCACCATCAACACCAGTATTTCGTCAACACATTCCAGTCCGTGCTCATCAGTATCATCCAAATTTGTCATTCGTGAACCCACCCACCTCGTCAGCTGTGCCGCCGATCAGTGAACCCTTTCAAACACCTTTACACCCTCGCTTCCGTCCGCATTACCCATTTGCTCCTCATACTTCTGTAAGACCTTCAGGCGCCTTTCATTCGCCCGAGAGTCCTGGGTTTCCATCTATCTGTTCTCCGACCCACTCGGATCACTTTCATTCCAACTTTCATCCAAAAATCCCCCAGTATCAACATCAGTTTGCACTTCATTCTCACTCTCAGTCGCCATCATCCTCTGTGCCTCGCTCATTTCTAGCAGATCAGCAACAACAGAATCATCAAGCGTTTTTTGAGTTACAGCCCTCACCTGTCTTCAATTTGCACTCTACCAAACGGCCCCTCAACGTATCGTCAAATTCGTCATCCGGTCATTCTCATCGAACGCTCTTTTCAGCTTCCTCACCTAAACATCAAGTTCCCAATCGAATCGAGTGTCAAGGTTTATTTGACCACCTTCAACCTTTCCTTTATTCAGCCGATCCTTTCAGTTTAGAAAACTCACCGGAATTAAATAATCCTCACGCACTTGTTTTCCCTACCGCTAAACAAGAACTCGATCCAGATTTTCGTCGATTTCCAAAAGGTATGCCTTGATTATATAGAGTGTTCTGTGATCAGAACAGACCAAACTAATTGATTTGTAACAGGTCCCTCAGATCCAAACAAAGACAGAATGGGTAACAACAAGGTTAACGAGAAAAACTCCACCGCTTCCAACCATAATTTGGTAGGACACCGCATTGATGGCGGTAGGTTAGAATTTATGAGTGTTTTAGGACTTGGTGCCTACGGAGTTGTATATCTTGCTCGAGGTCAGTGTCATTTTCCGTTTTATTGCTCATGCACGTGTTACAGGATATTAACGCGATGTTTGGTTTTGTAGATCTTAACTCACCTGATATGCAACATCCTAGACTTTATGCGGTCAAAGCGTTGAACAAAGTCGGCCTCGATGCGCGTCAAAAATCGTTCCAACGACGCGAGATTGCCTTACATTCTCTTGCATCACCTCATCCTTCAATTGTAACGCTTCACGCCGTCATCGAGTCACCTTCTTGCATCTTTGTCATTCTTGATTATTGTCCCGATGGTGATCTTTTTGGAATGATCACTGATAAACAACGATACTTGAGCAAGACCGATTTGATCAAACAGGTCTTTATTCAAATTGTTGAAGCTGTCCAGTTTTGTCATCGACTTGGTATCAGTCATCGAGATCTCAAGCCTGAAAATATTTTGTGCAAAAAGGGTGGAGAAGATGTTGTCCTGGCTGATTTTGGGCTTGCTACTTCTGAGCGAACAAGTTCTGATTTTGGATGTGGTAGCACGTTCTATATGAGTCCTGGTAAGTTGGCATTTGACATTGACCACCCGAGTGTTCACTGATTCGACGATCAAACTCTTTTACAGAATGTCAAGGTGGTTTGTTCCAACGCTTGGGTTCATACTCAACTCTTCATAACGATATTTGGTCTCTCGGTGTGATTTTAGTCAATTTGACTTGTGGTCGAAACCCTTGGAAGCAAGCATGTCCATCGGACGAGACCTTCCGAGCTTACTTGGCAAATCCTGACTTTCTACGATCAATCTTACCCGTCAGCGATTCTTGCAACAAAATTCTCAAACGGATTTTTGCTCTCAATCCATTGGCCAGAATCTCACTTGCAGACTTGAAGACTGAAATAGCTAAAGTGGACACCTTCAACATGACAACTGAGGAATTGAGCAAGTCTACTAGAGCTACTCGTGATGCCGCTAGAGCCTGGAGGAAGGATGTGCCCGCCAGTCCCAAACCTGCACCACAGCCGCCATCCTCGTGGAAGAATACATTGACAAAGAAGACGAAGAAATCCAAGAACAATGAAGCTCATGCCCAACGCCATCCGATCCCAGCAGATGGTAGTGTGTGGGATCAACCAGTCAGATATGAAGAGAGTTCTTCGAGTAGCTCTGCGACCTTCTACAACAACGAATCGAATGATAGCTCACTTTGGAATTACCCCAACTCCCGACCTGCTCCCCGTCAAACTGATGCTCAAGACAAGCTTCGTTCGCCCATCAATGGTGTGGGTGCAGCTGCAAAGAATTTGGATGATGAGACACCTCGTATTAGGTTTGTTAGCCCACCTCAAACGCCCCGAACTCCCCAAAGAGTGCATGCTCAGAATGCAATCAGCGGACGAGTTCCAACCGGTCCCTTGGTTAACGCTTTCACCTCTACCTCCATCTCATCCAGCAATTCATCTTCTTCATCTTCTGGCGATTGGAGTAAGAAGCCCCGTAACTTCACTAGTAGATTTGGTGTGAGAAAGCATGTCAACTTTGTAACCCCTCCTACCGAACCTACTGGCCACACGACGAAGAAGAAATTACTCATCAAGCCCATGTCGTTCAACCGACCCAACGCACCTTCGCCTATTGTTCTTAAACCTTCTACTCCTGATTCTTCAGCATCCTCTTCGTCCTCTCGTTCCCGAGGACTTGTCACCCCCACTGTCAAGAAAGGAAAGCATACCACTCTCACTTTCCTCCCCTCAACACCTCCGTCGTCTGCTTCGCCCAAGTCCACCACCTTTGGATTTTCACGCAACCCGAAGAAGTTCTATGCTCAAGAGTTACCGCTCACACCGATCACCCCATCACACCCCAGACGTGAAGATGACAAGGATTGTATCACAGGACACCCTCCTAGACGTCGTATGAATAAGAATGGAGCACCAATCACACCACCCAAGAAGAAACACGACCCCAGCAAGTTTTCTCTCTTTAGTTCATCTGATGAAGAAGGATTTGAAGGAGTAGGAGAAAAGGTAGATGCCGATTTTGATCCGGAAGAAGATGATGACGAGGATGAAAGTTACCGGAGTAGTTATCCTGCTTATGCTGAATGGGCTAAAACTAATGAATCAGTCATTACTTCAGCTATCAAGGCATAGAAAGAAAGAGAGAGAGAGAGGTGTGTAATTGGACAATATGTATCGTGTAATGCTTTTTTGTTTGTATTCTTTCATCTTTACTACTAGCTGTTGTACGGTTTGTTTCTTTTTTTTATTTTCACTCCTTATTTCTGTGCGAGAGACGATGATGATGACGAGTATCTTGCAACTATCTGGTGTTTTTTTTCGATGATCGAACTTTTTCTCTTTCTCTGGACGCTTTTATCTTTTACTTTTTTGGCTTTACTAATGACACTAAAATATTGAATGCGTAATAATCAAATCAAAGAACCCGTTTCAAAAACAATGAGAGCGATTTACCTGAGATACATTTCGAACCTTTGTCGAAAGTTCAGAGGCTTTGTGAGTGGTGACAGTATACCAACGTGGACAAAATGTTGTTTGCTGAGCAGGCACTAATTCTATTTATGAAAGTTGTGCATGTTTAATGACCTGTTTGCACCCAAACCTCTAGGCCACATCCATGCAACGTTATACATCAAGTTATTCAGCGTTGTTTGCAAAAAGCTTGACGCTTTGCTTTCTTGGCTCATTTGACCCTATTTTTGCTCTGTGCTGATTAATTTCCTAGCTCAGCACTTTGCGACATATGGTGAGCAAGCATTCGATACCTGCCGAGTTACAAAACCATTCTATGTATGGTCTCGCTAGAGTGTTCATGTGATGCAGCATCTTGACTTTGTTGGTTTAGGTGTTAAAGTGAGGTCAAAAACAGTCTACTCTGACCGCCACCGTCAGCTGAGCCCACAGTCCTCCCAAGAATGCTGAGGTACCGATCGGGTTAAGCTGATCGACCACTCAACCTCAAAAGCATCTCTGTATTAGCCGTGTTCAAACATAACCGGGTTGCCCAAAGACCCGGTACACCCAGTCAATTTTTACACTGGGTTTGCTGGGAACGTGAAAAAAAAAACATTTCAACCTCTCCACATTCCCCTCTTGATTGATCAAGCCACCATGCCACGCAAACAGAAACAGAAAACCAGTAAACCCCCTCTTAAATCCAACAAATCAACAGAGCCACATACAGCTATATCGGCATCAACCACCAACACTCCAATTGATTCTCTCAGCACGGTATCTTCTAACTTCACGCCGGGATCGACTTTCCCAGCCTTTCAAGGTTCACCCTCGGCTTCCCTCTCTCAAGCAGACTTGATCCCATTGGGGCAGGTTTTGGCTAGCTCAGCCACATCAGCACCTTTGATCTCGACTTCGCCTCAGGGTTTGATTTCCTTGCCAACAAACACCCCAGCTTTGATCTTGAATCCCGCTTTGTTCACACCTGTTGGATCACAGCTGACTGCAGTCACCCCTATCAACCCGATGAGTGAACCTCAAGTTGAAAAAAAAGGACGCGGACGACCTAAGAAACCTGTTAGCGAAGAGAAGCCCACTCAATCCTCATGGTTTGTGGACGGACCTGACGGCTACTCTGACATGGACATTGTTGCATTGTGGTGTGCTGAGTTGGATAACTTCAGTCGATGGAAAGAAGCCATTCCGAGCAAGATTGCTGTAGCTGCTATCTTGAGTGATCATATGGCGCAGAAAAATCGTCCTGGTCGATCACCAAGAGAGTGCAATAAGAAGGTATGTACTTATTCTACTTGATTAGTCATGTTCAGGTGTTAATATTCTTCGTATCCTTTTGTTTAGATCGAATGGCTCGAAAGGAAGTTCAAGGAAGGGTGGCAACATGTTAAATCGACTGGACAGGGGGTTCTCGACAATGAAGATCACCGAGCAAACTTAAAGGAGATGAAGTTGTTATCAGTTGTTGTCAATAGTGATGGTGAAGAGGAGATGGTTGGAAAGATATGTGATAACTCACAAAAGAGAGGCCGTTACCGAAAACCTCTCAAAGGTTCACCTTTAGGTATGTGGTTGTTTGTTAACATTTCCGAACTGTGGAGCTGATACAGTGGTGGATGTATGTAGATTATGCGTTAGCAACCTGTCCTTGGTATGTAGTCTTGGAGGGTGTGATGCTCGAACGCTCAAACATCATACCCGAAGCGACTCACGATACCCTAGGAAACACGTCATTAAATTCACTCAACAACCTTGATTTAATAGACAACAACATCGATTTTGTAGATGATGATGATGCTGATGGCGAGGATGGCGAGGATGGCGAGGATGGCGAAGATAGTAATTCTAAATGTGTTCATGTGGCATCGGATGAAGAAGAGGGTGATGAGAAAATCAAGGTGAAAGATGTGCAAGAAACAAAGTTATCAGTCCGTCAAAGACACAACAAAAGTAAGTGACCTACATGTCTTATCTTCCGTTTGATCGTGGTTTTGATTTATGATGATCCAGAGTTCAGAAGAGATTCTAGGAACGGAAACACTTCTCGAGATCCTCTTGGACTTCAAACCCTTATGACCAACTTTCTACCTTCAAAATCCGAACGCCAAACCGTAGCAAAAGCAGAAGCCAAAAAAGAAAAGCAGCAAGCTCATTTGACATCCAAGATAGCTCAAGCGATTACGGTAATGTCAGACAATCGCAAAGAAGATATCAACCTTAAACGCTCTCAACTCCGTGGTGATGCCGTGACCAGATTTATGGGCATGGGGGATACTTTTGAGAAAGCTTTTGAAAAAGCTTCCTTGTTGTATCCGGACCCTCAAGTTACTCAAAGTCAGGAATTTGTACAAGGTAGTAGCAAGGATGCCATCATAGGTGACAAAGAGGAAGATACAAGTGACTCTGACATCGAATACTAGACCGATTGATCCTCTGAAGTGTGCTATCTAATCCACCTTTTTACACTAACACCCAGTTTGATCCTTAACAATTCCAGAATAACCGCTTGTCCTTATCTCTTCAACAGAAATTCACATAGTATCGTTCTTGTTTAACTTCTCAAAAGATCGTTTTAAAACTCATTCTTATTCCAATCAAATTCACGAAAAATTATTCTTTTTCTTCAAGTGTTCAAAAAAGAAATTGTGGGTGTTTTAAAACTCGAGCTTATTCAACTTCACCGCTTAAAAAAATGTGGTTGGTTTTGATTAACAATTAGAGTAGTCTATTTAATCTTAAACATGATTAACTTTGTTTCGTTTAATTTCCAAAAAAAAACGTGCCTATTTACTTTACTTCTTCTTGTTTTTTCTTTTGGTCCAAGAAATCAAATGTGTGTGCTCTCAAGTTTGTTATGAGATCAAAATCTTTTCTTGCAATTGATTTAAGTATGTGTCGATTTCTTAACTTGAAAGAAAAAAGGGAGCAAACGGAAATCTGGATTTCCTAAGTGAGAATAAAAAGGAGACAACTAAATGAAAAAATAAGACCAAGTAACTCAATTAAACATTTGCACTATATAAAAGTTGGGACATCTGATACTTGTTGCGTTCATAGCCAACCAGTTACAATTTTAGCTATTTTATTGAAAAATTTAAGACATCGACATGACATATTCTTGAAACAACCGCTCCCGTCTTTGATCGCCTAGACGTGCATTCCCCATGGCGGCAAAAGCTTCCTCTTCATTTGTTGGAGGTGGCTCCCGATGGTTTTCCCAATCATCTGATAGGCCGGATTCCCAGTTGGACTCGTTGAGGTTCACAAAGTTGTGGACCACACAGCATGCGGCAAGCCACATCGACAGGCGGAGAGCAGACCGTGGACCTTTGATAAGCACTCGAGCCTCCTTACAAGACTGAGTCCTACCTTTCCATACGCCGTTCGTGTGTTCAGAAGCAATTTGCGCCATACTCAACTCGTAGTTGAAGTGTCGTTGTTGTCGGTCCAGGTCCTTATTCCTTGGCTTTTTGAACGCAGGAACAATCCATTTCGAAGCGCTGTATCCCGAGTCAGCCAAAAGATACTCTCCAGGACTAAAATGACTTTTGATGTTTTTGTAAAACTGTAAGAAATATCCTTTCAGTGAATAACTTGTTCAAAAAACCCATCACATGCAATTAGACTTTACCTCAGTTGATTTGAGGACTCTTTGATCGTGTGCACTCCCACACCATCCATGATGAGCATATGTAATCTGCCTCCGATGATCACATATGATCAGGGAATTGACCGCATAAATTGACTTTTGGCAATAGTAGGCCTCGCTGTTCTTCTGCGGTGCGTAGGCAAGGGGTATGAGTGTCCCGTCAATGAATCCAACACACTTCTTGAAAAATGAAGATCTTCCGATTTCTGCGCTGATGTCCTGTCGTTCTTCAGCGTTCGGCCACCTGACGTATTTTGATTCGAGTGCAACAAGTGCCACAATACATCGATTTGTATAGTTTTCAACCGTACCTTCTAATCAAGATGACAGTCATCAGTATACAACATAAATTCAACGCAAGTTGAACAATTCTCACCGGACAGTTTGAATAATTTACCAATTACTTGACACTGCCCCCCGTTTCCAGACAGTCCAAAGTTAGCCATCGTAACCAAGAGCTGCCATGTTACTGGAGCTTGCGGGCAATGTGAATTGTTATGAAAGATAGGATTTGCAGCAATATCGTGCACAAGGTTAATGAACGTATCCTTCGACATACGAGCCTAGCAGAGAGTCAGAAAAGTTCCAACAAAACAAATCAGTCAACTTGAAAATGAAGCAAAAATACATCATCTGATTCTACATACCACCATGTTCCACTTTCGATCATTCTCATTAAACCATTCATCAAAACATTCCTGTTTCTTGTCACGGGTTGAAAGATATTTGAGCCTGGGAACCAGGTAGCGTCTTTTTCGAGCACTTTCTAAAGCAAATGCAGCAATTGCCAGAGTTGCTTCATCCTCAGTGTAACGACGTTTGCATGATGTACGGATCGATAAAGAATTTGAAGTATTTGCTAAAAGTAAGAGACCAGCCATGAGGAGTTGATCGCTTGTCTCTTCTTCGGAGTCGAGCTGATCAAGAATCATGATTGCCGCCAAGATCGTAGTGATGTCGGTGGGTATTTTGCAAGATTTTTGATAACTGGTGACCAAAGACACTACTTGAAGTGCACAGAAACACTCCAAGCAGGCCAACACGTCGGTACGTAGGGTGGAGTTTGGCATTTGTGGTGGTATAGCATCGACAGGTGGAGTTTGGCAGTGGTGGAGTTATCAAGAGGTGGAGTTCGAGTTCGGTGGTAGTTGAAATCAGGGTCCACAAGGTCTCAAACTTGACTTCTTGACCCGGTCTACCCAGTACCGCCAAAAATTCAACTGGGTGTACCGGGTCTTTGGGCAACCCGGTTATGTTTGAACACGGCTATTACTCCACATCATCTCGCTATCACTGCCAGCATTAAATATGTTCCCTGGTCGGAACATGACCTAGGCTGGGAATATCATTGAGAGAAGAATGGTGCATCAAATCATCTTGCACTGCACATCTGAGCCATAAAGCATACACTACATATGTGCAAACATCTGAGTAAATCCTTAGCTATCAGCTACATACAGGTCCGCTCAGTTTTCTGCTCATCTAGATAAGAAGTTCATGTGTAATACATGCTGTAACTTTGTTCAGATTGAGCCACACATCTCAAAATATTGACTACATATATCACAATGGCTACTCAGGAAATATTCATGGAACTGTGTAACAGTAGCAGGATGGGAATCTGATCACTAGGACCCATATTCCCATCTGGGAACCTCTTTAATGCTGGCAGTGTATTTGTCTAATCCGAGCAACCAACTTCGCAACCTTGTCCAAACACACAAACTGCATCAACACATGCTCAATTTAGGAAACTTAGGAAACTTCCCATCAACTTCAAATATAAAAATCAATTGACAGTGATTAAATTGCAATTGCAGGTCTTGGGTCAAAGGATTTACTAATTGCGTATACAAGCATTCATTTATATTTATCAAATCAACTCAGCATCTCTCATTAACATTCTCATTCAAGAACTTATCATTCATCAGCATTCATCATTCATGGAATCGGTCTCATCAGATAATGATGATCAATCAGATCAAATCAATCCATCAGTTCAAACATCCACCACTACAAGCTCAACCAATTCATCTTCATATCGAGTTCCAAACCCACCAACAGAAACTCCATTAGCTTATCATGCAGTCATCTCCCTCTTTCGATTCGTACTAGCGATCTTCTTCTCTAGGATAGTCATCGAAAACATAGATCAAATTCCGACCAATGGACAACCGACGATCGTCTTAGCAAATCATTCAAACTCATTAACAGATGCACTTATCATCATGTCCTCAATCCCACGTCATGCTCGTAGAATGCTTAGAATGACAGCTAAAGCAACTCATTTTCGTAGAGGAACGTTTTCATCTTGGTTGATCGAAAAAGCAGGATCAGTACCATTACAAAGATCTAAAGATTATACAAATCATCAAACGATTGATAATTCATTAGCCAGAAAGATGTTGATTGATGCATTGTGTGAAAATGGAGATGCGATTTGTTTGTTTCCAGAAGGAATTTCAAGATATCATCCATCGATTGCACCACTTAAAACGGGTACTGCTAGAATCGCATCAGATGTACTTTATAAAGAAAAAGAAAATGATCAGTTTGAATTAAATCTATTGACTTGTTCTATAACTTATTTACATCGACAAAACTTTAGATCTGATGTTTTAGTTTCATTTCATTCACCTATCAAACTTAAACCAAAGGAAAATTTAGATTTGATTTCAGAAGATTTAGAGATTAGAAAGATTGCAATCAATGAATTAACTGAAAAACTAAGTGAAAGGATTAGATCTGGTACACTAGATTCACCTTCTTGGGATCTCATCAAAGCTGCCAATTTAGCTAGAACGATTTATGCTCCTTTTGGTACTAAGATCGGATTAGGATCTCATGTTAGACTTACTCAAAAATTTATTGATGCATTTGCTGGACGAGATGGATCAGATTCAACTACCAGTTCAACCGATTCATTAGTCAAAAGTTTATTAGATTATCAAAACAAATTAATTCAATTAGGCATTAAAGATGAAAGGGTGGCTAATAATCGATTGATCAAAACTAGAGTGATCTTTAAACGATTATTGGTTAGATTAGTTGGTGCTGGATTTTTAACTTCGATTTGTTTTCCTGGAATGCTTTTATGGTTTCCAGCTTTTTTTACTGCTTGGTTTTTTGCTGAAAGACAAAAACGTACTGGACGTAAGTTGATGAGAATTTCAAAAGATTCTAATTAGACATTTGATGATTCTGATCTTGATTTGTTCTTGTGATTCAACAGCTGCATGGGATACGTATGATGAGGTAAGTATCTGTTATTGTTTCTTGATACGTATCTTGATCATCACAAACTGATTTACCCACTTCCTGGTGCGAATCTTGATATCAAAACAGGTGACACAAACCAAACTTTTATACGGTCTGGCATCTGGTTTGATCACCTATTTCACAGTGGTCCTTTTTACATTTCCGATCTTCCCGATCACTGCTGTCGGAGTTCCGCTATTGATGTGGTTCACCCTGAGGTGGCTAGAAGATCTAGTTGCAACAGTACGTCGGATTTCTTATTCCTTTTATCTATATATCTGGACATTTCTGAATCTTGCAACTTTTTATTTGTTCTTTTTCTTTAGTTAAGAGCAGCAAGATCATTATCCAAAATGTTAATGTTAGGACAAAAAGAATTAAATTCACTTAGAAATCAACGAATCAATTTAATTGAACCGGTTAAAAAGATTGCCATTGAAAAATGTAAATTACCAATCGAAAGTGAAAAGGTTTTGTTAGATGAAAAAAACCTATTGAAAAAAGAATTGATCATCAAGAATGGAAAAGTTAGTAGATTAGGTTATTTTTCGATTAGAAGAAGAAGAAAGAAAGATTATAATGAAGTTTTAAGACTTTGGGATGTCGTTGATATGTGATAGTTTTTTTTTGTTTTCTTTTTCGGTGTCGTTCTTTTTTTGTTTGTTTAGTGGTGTTTCTTGACCTTTGGTTTGGTCAGAGTTTGTATTAGAAATTTAAGAATGGATTTGGGTCCCTGATTTCCTGGATAATGTTTTATTTCTTACTTGATTTTTTTATTAGAATGATTTAATTTGAAATGTACATTGATGATTGATATATATAAAGAAAAAGAGTAACAAAATCGGTTGAGCTATCAAATACCACGATTAAATGATGTTACAAGAAAAATGATGTAGATTGTGTGAGATGATATATCGAAGTGACCACATATGTACTGAGGAAGTGTTGAGATCTTGGTACTTTTTTCAAAAAACTTGGTTATTCATTTTGATTTAGTGGGTCCAATATTACAAAAGACATAGGCAACAAGCTTTGGAAAAAAAATTGAAGTGGTGTTAAATTTATTAAATGGCTCAAATAGGTTGATTCAAATTTTGGAATGGTGAGCTCATATTTGGTGTAATAAAAACTTGTCTGTCCAAAAGAATTCCAGTGTAGCCAGATGTTTTCAAATCAAATGGCAGTCACATCTGTCCCCACGAATAAAACATGCAATGTTTGTTGTCCACCCTGTGTACCATGAAATTTGATACGCCAAAGAAGTGATTTTATCAGGGGCTGATCGTGAATTCCTTCCCTTGGAGTTGCCTTGCACGAAAAGGGAACTTCACGTATATCATCACAACACTTACCTAAGAGAATGTCGATAAAATATTCCGAAGCAATATTCTCGTCTCATCTGGGACTGTGTTTTTGATACATATTAACATTATCATTTCAAGACGTCAAGCGTTATGCTTTGGTTGTTGTTCTGAAATTCAGCAAATTGCTGAACAAGAGAGCTTTGTACATACAGTTTCTCTTCACACTGTATCCCACATGATTAATTGTTTGAAGTATGAATTAATATTCTTGGACAATGCAAATAGAGCTACAGTTAAAAGTATACTTAATGACTACAAACAACATGTCTACAAACCAATTAACAAAATAGAAAAACATTTGAAACTTCATACTGCTGGAGCAGCACTCTCTACTCCAAATCGACCACAGACAAGCATAGATTCTTTGATGGTAAACCAAGGTTGATAAATTTTGATTGTAGCACCAGGTTGATAATGTCGAACTAATTCAGCCATCGTGGTCGTTACTGGTCCAATGGCATCGGAAGAGGAAGTAGCTCCCATGACTACAGAATTGTTTAAAGATAACACTAATGTCCAGCTCTTTCCCATCTCATCTTGTCCTTCAACCATGATACTACGACCTTTGCAAGGCTCAAGCTTTGGATTATGAATAAGGTTAAATGACTTGAAGGGTTGTACTAGGGATGATTTGGTAGACTTGACATTCATTCGTCGTTGTGCATCGCTTCTCCACATTTCCCAGTTAGTTTGTTCTGAGTTGATGATCGCCTGAACTCTGTTTTTCAAAGGAGATTCAGGCTCCATGTTCAATGTTCCCTTACGGTGACGACGTGTCGGAGAGATATCGACCACTGAAGGTTTTTCGACGACGATTGGTGGTGGTGGATGACAAAGAGGGCGAAAATCGGGACGGTCGGGAGTTTGAGCAGGTTTGGGTAAAAGATTTGACAAAGGGATATGTTTTCGTTTTTTGGAATTGGTAAAATCGGACAAAGGTAAAGCTTTACTATATGACATCAATGTCGTCGAAAGTGATCGACGGGCTTTCGAAGCTTGGCAAGGTGATTCTGGGATTCGTAAAGTTTGTAACTCTGATAAGGCTATAGTCTTATGTTTGGCTGAATTGTTCTCCATGGCAGGTGAGTCGACCTTGAATCTTTTGATTCGATGTTGTTCGCGCATGACCATTGCAAGGTTTGATAATGTTTCATTCCGCGTTGAGGCTTGAGCTTCAGAAGGACGCGCCACTTGACTAGGTGTAGGAGTCGTGCAAGCGGAAGTTTTGTTGGATGGGATTCTGGATGGCGAGGCTGGCAAGTAAAGGTCAACCAACCTGCATCGGTTTACTGTCCTTGCTTGCGCTGTTTGTGTTAATTATTAAAGTTTGTATAGATTAAGAGTCGCAGATCATTTTAGTCGCGGATAGAGAATTGAACGCCCAAATATATCAGCATCCTGACTGTTACTTTGGCCTATCAGAGTGAGGCACCAAATGAGTCGCAGACCTTCGTTCTCCTTCCCCTTTGATACACCCCGCGAGTCCGTATGAGGAGTAACGTGCTGGAGGGCACGTTGGGCCATCGAAGTCAGAGTCGTTGAGTCTTTTGAGACATAGGTTTTGACTGGGGTATGCTGGTGTGTTAGCTTTTCCAATTCTTTAGCGGGACGTATCACTGATGTATTCGGGTTGTGGTTGCATGAAGGACTGGTGTTAGTATCTTGCTATCAAAGTCTAATTTGACGCGAGTTTTTGATAAGCTAACAATTAGATAACGGAGCCAATGGTTTATCCTTTTTCGATCTCCTCCGACATGGTATTGGTGGCACGACGATCCCAACATTATCGTACTGCTTATTCTTGTCGTTTCTGCGATTAGGAACAAAAAAAGTTGAGGATGCGATTGTGAATGTGTTCTTGGGTTTTGGATTGGTTGTTACGAGTTGGTTTTCTGCGATTTCTTTGGCTGGTGTAGAAGGTCTCGTGTTTTTATGTTTGATTCGGCTCATACTGTCGTCGTTTCTGCGCTGCATTTGAATGATAGATGATGGTGTAATCGATATTGGAAACTTGATGAGCTCAAAGAATGACAAATTGATTTGACACAGTCACGTCTTCGAGAATCACCACTTTGTGCCCGTTTGGAACTCCGACCCGACTGACGACTTCCCGCATCAGGAGACCGGTCATGCCTCAGGGTCATGCGGATCTCGGAGCTTTGATTCACCCCTGAAAGATCCTGGAGAAACTTGATCAACTTTATCGCGGCCACTATCATAATCATTGTTTTAAAACGTAGACCACCAACACGTTCAAGATGACACACTCTTCGCTGCTAAACATCTGAAGGATGTCGGTGCAGTTTATGGAATGATATCTTTCAATCGCAAATATTCGATCAAGACTCTGAATGCGCTAGCTACGAGCGGCTATCTGAAGCGCGTCTGATTTTTTTCTGTGCAAACACCTTCGTGGTTGCAAGTTACGGTGTAGCTCAATCGCTTGGAAGATGCTCCGCGCGTCTAATGATGCAAAATGGTGTTCACATAATCAGCTGCCAGCCAGTCTCTTGTACCGGACGCACGCACACGGACCCAGAACACGAGTGATCCGGTCAATGATTCATTAAGCATGGTCAATCTGAGTGTATCTAATTGATGACCAGTGACCGAGTTGAGTGGATATGGGCAGGTGTGTTGATCGAGTCCAAGGTAATGATGGCCAAAAGCACATCATCATTCGTATCTCCCTACTTATCCGTCTTTGTTCGCACTCCAGTGACGACATCAACTTCATCCTCTTAAGCCATATCCCAAGTCAGCAATAGATTCCTATTCTCACACTTAGCCTCTATATTGTAACCCCCGCAGTGGCGAGTCCGTTTGGGTGAATTAGGTGATCATCTTCAGTTACAAATTCGTGCCTTGATTTGCTTCATAACATTGTAGGTCGAGAAAAAGGCGTTATCTGCTTGTTTTTCAGCTTGGGAACTATCACGTCCAAATTTCTTGCACTTCTCATAACTCGAATCATCAAATCCACTTTCCCGAGCGTCGTACACTATGGACTCCACCATTTCATCTGACACCCGATTTGACATCATCGACTTCAATCATCTATCCCCTGAGCTAGACTGGCATCGACTTGGCGCTGGCTCGTTTGGAAGTGTTTACCGTGCAGAGTATCTTGGTCTGCCAGTTGCCGTTAAGGAAATTTTCTCCCGAACAGACTATAATGGTAAGCGATTTCAATCTTTTCCTTGCAATACCATTTTAGTAACAAAAAAATATCAAATCTCTTTTTAGTCGAAAAGTATTTCGCGCGTGAATGCAAGATTTTACAAGAAGCTCGACACCCTAACATTGTTCAATATATTGGATTGTGTCTCGCACCTCCTGGTCCTCCTAAGCATGATTATCAACCTGATTCAGATGAAGAAGAAAATGCACCGCCAGTCGTCGGGAAAAAAGCTCGACCAGCAGCTAAACGAATCTTGATCATCAGTGAATACGTCAGTCAGATCAGATCATCATTTAATGAATTTTTGATTTTAACGTTGATTCTTTTACTAGTTGCCGAAAGGAAATTTACGAGGTCATCTTATCACCCATGCCACCGGACCAAGTTTATCATGGCGTCTTAGATTATCTTTTGCTATAGATATCACCAGATCTATTGCATATCTTCATGAACGGAGATGTTTACATCGGGATTTGAAACTCGAGAATTGTTTAATCACAGACAATTTTCGAATCAAGTTATGTGATTTTGGTTTCGCTCGACTTGAGGCCAAAAACGAAGAAGAGGTACGAAGGTTGAGCTACTGTGGTACAGATGGAGTAAGCATTCTGTTTTGTACATTTAGTGTTTGACTCGAATATTGTCACTGACTGATGCATCACCATACCTATTTCACTTTAGTATATGTCACCCGAAATCTTGAGAGGTGAACCCTTTGGTTTGGCGACCGACATCTACAGTCTTGGTATTCTCTTTTGCGAATTGATCACACTTAAATTGACGGGACAGGCAGGTTCATCTACAACAGGATTTCTTGAAAGGGTACCACCGGCATACGCTATCAAACCAGCAGATTTGAAGGCCTTGTTGTGCGCCAAAGAGCATGGTTGTCCAGATGGTTTTATTCAACTTGCTCTCAAATGTTCTGATACAGACAGCTCTCAAAGACCGCCAATTCGAAGTGTTCTACGCACGCTCGATCAGATCGAACGTCAAGTGGTCACAGCTGAAGCGGAAATGATCGCCAATGCAGCCAAAGCCGCTGCCCGTGCGGGAGCAGCAGCTCCTAAAGGCTTAGTGGATAGACTGGTCAAGATGGACTGTGTGGGAAGCTTCAGTTTTGGGTCTGGAAAGCGTGAAGGTAATCTAGCAAATCCAGGCGAGACTGTCTCAACTTCGAAAAGGTCGAGATCAGGACATCCTAAACGCATTCCTAGCTTTGGGGGACGAGTCGTTGTACCTCATACCGAAACGAAACCGAATGAAGCTGATTCAGATGACGAAAGTGATGAATCAAGTAGTGAGGAGGAAGATCGACCAAGTTTAGTAGAAGTACAATGTTTACTCAAAACTGGAGGACACCCCACGACTTCGTCAATTCTCCAAGGAAGCGGTTCATCTACACCTTCTGTTGCGTCTACTGTTCGCCCTCACGCCATCCTGAAATCGAGCTTCTCAGAAAACACGCTTATGGATGTAGTTTCAGATGCTATGCCGACTGAAGTAGCCAATCACGAGTCTGGATCCTCATCATCGAATCGCGTAGAGCTGGAACCCATAGTTGCACCTGGGTCAGAAAATCTAGTCGTTGAGAAGCATCAACATCTTTCTACGTCAGTAGGAAATAGTAGCATACCTTCGAACATAGGTACTATCAAGACAGTTCTTAGTGATTCGTCTTCTCGAAAAATGCCAGATAGTACTTTATCTTCCAAGGAGCCTTCCACTCCCACGTCTTTGGTTGTGACCCCGTTGGTCGAGCAGCAGGAGCAGGAGGAAGTACCAAATGAAAAGCCAATTGTACCTACACATTCTAGCACTTTGAACACCAACGAGAATGCAAGCAACGATCAAGAGGTTTCTATCACCGAACAACCATCAATCCCAGCTACGACAGAAATAGCCGAGCAAGATCTTCCTGTTGCCGAGCAATCTCCTGTCAAAGATTCTGAAGATAACACCATCAAAATCATTGAGCCAGCCAAGAAGATTGAAGATAAAAAAAACTTGGAACCGACCATGGATGCTCTGTTGGCTGCTTCGAACCTCATCAAATCCGGTCCACATCGATTTACACTTTTCAAAACTAATTGGCTCACACACCTTTTCTCAAAGAGCTCTACAAGTGGAACATCGGGTGATCCACCTAGAAGATGTGGTGCATGTCAAAAGAAGATTAGTATGTTGAAAACTTTCTTAGAATGCGATGATTGTGGGATGAAGGTCTGTAGTTTGATTTGAAAAATTATTCAATTCTGGTATATGCAACTGATCGTAAACGTTTCTTCTCTTTCAATTGACGTCACATTCATCAGTGTCATCATAAATGCAGTGATCTTTCTACCCTGCCCCACTGTATGAAGAGCTCCAAGAGTGGATTGATATCGAACAATGGGGAAGTTGTATAGAAACAGTTTTCTTTTCTTCATTCCATTCTAATATTTCACTTTTGAATCCTTTCTTTTTCTTATGGTCGATGTGATGTCAGGGTTCTTGATGTAGGATATAATCGAAGTCTGTCTTTTCTTTGATGAAAGTGTATAATCTGAAATTGTACTTTACATAGGATTAAGGAATCGATGTACACTTTAATATTATTTTAATGAGCGTATTTGTTTTTTGTCATCTTTGTTTTCCCTCCAATATACCCTTTTGCCTTTGGATACATTCAAGACTGTCTGATATTTGATATTACCAATTTCAAAGGTACAAAGGCTGACACGTGATTGAAATTCCCCTCAAAAAATTCAACAGATTGTTACGTCCATACTGTAGAAATAAGTGTCATATCAACGACACAACTATATTTTATGGAATTGGGAAGACGTCTTGCTATCTCTGAAGAGGTTTTTTGGAGAATACGATCATCCGTGTTAATGATAGTTTTCTATTATTATTAATTTCTGATGATTTCAACAACCAGAATATCTACAAATTCGGCCACGTTCGTCCAGTGCAAGTCGAGAGGCTATCCGATCCAGAGCGCAGCCTCTCCTTTGACGAGGCACATTGGGGTCTGAACTTTTGCCTCACTCTGAAAATGATCAATGTATCAAAAATCTAGGGGAGTCAACATTGCTGCAAGATTGACTTCTGCGTATGGAGAGTAATATGAATATTGATGTTCGCAGTGTACTTGTTGGCTCCGAAAAATGGGACCAGAGACTAACTTAACACAAGCCCCAATTCTCGCAGGGGCTTTCTTACCTTCACAAGCTCGGTGCCCAGACACCCGAGCTCGTGAGGAAAAAGTGTCTGGATCACAGAGAGACTTATTAAGTTAGGACCAGAGAGCTACCTGTATGGCTAGGTCCTCCAAATCTTTTCTTGAAGCCCATTTCCATCTTGAATTTGTTTGAAATTCATGTCAATTTCTCTAACGAAGTTATTAAGGCTCTGTAGATTATAGGCGTGAGATGACATGCCGGCTTCAAGGCTGTTCAAGGGTGTAGTTGTCAGAGAATACGAGATTAATAGCACCTTGATGACTGGTAGTTGCGACTTGGAAATCTTCGATTAAGTTGAGATTACAGTCGGCCACGAATGGAGTGCACAACGAAACATCAAGGGGAGGTTGAAATCGAAGAGTGGCTATGTGAATCGAGCCATCGGACAGTTCTACAATCATACTCAGCTTGGATGAATCCCATCTCAAGACTTTCGACAACCCAATCTATCTCAAGTCACTTAACTTTATCGTTGAACAATTCAAAGAAATGACCTTTTCCACTTTTGCACTGAGCCAAATGCAATCGTTCACCGTCCTTCAATTTTTTAATCGAACTCAGAAAGAAACTAAAGAGAGTTTTTTTATCTGAAGAGATTTAGGATCAGAATATACCATTCTGATAATGGCGCTGGATTCTGAGATCGTAGTATGACGGTGATGAGCAATTTGAAGCTACTCTCTTCTCCTTTCTGTCGCACAGTGTTAGCTCTGCGCCGGCACAAGGAGGGGAGCCAAGAAGGACACCGTTTTTTGAGTATGGTGAAGGTGGAGCAAGGATATATAAAGGCCATGGGAAATAGCCCAAGCCGAATGAAAAGAGCTAAGGTCATTTGTGGAGACCTCCCACAGGGCGAAGCGACAACCTGATCTCTTCATCTCTATATAGCTCATTGACCTGTTGATTATCTTGAGGATATAATTATCTCGCTTTCATCAAGCCGTTTTCTGTTGTCCTTGCGTCTCTTTGATCTCCACTTTTAAGATAATAAACAACATCGTTCTTTATTATTCGTTTCCTTCGTATTTATCTAGATATCTTACTACTTTATCACAATATTGTCTCCTTTCTGAGCTAGCTTTCTCCTCCGTGATATTCCTAATTTTCTTGTGATCATGGCTTCTCAAACTTATCATCAATCAGTGCTTAAGTCGGATCATGATCAAGTTGAAACCATTGATATTCAAAATCAAAATCAAATCAAAATCCAACAAACTTCACCAGAATCAACATCGGATCTTACCATTTGCAGTCCAGATGAATTCAACAAAACAGTTTATAAACAACCATCGGGATCTTTCTCTTCTAGTTCTAGCGAGCTTACAAGATTTGGATCCAAATGTGATTTACCGCATCTTAATACTAATCTCAATGGTCCCAATGTTGGTTCTAGTGTTACGATGGTGGCTGATTTAGATAGATATAAAAAAAACGACAAGAAGGAAGAAGGAAAGTCTGATGAGAAAGCTATAATTAAAATTAAAGATGATGTAAAGTTTTCAAAAAGATTTTACAATTTTTGTTTAAATTTCTTGACTTGGTTTACACCTTATAGACAAATTTTATTTCTCGTGATCTTCATAAATGCACTAATCATCATAGCTATATCTTCTGGTTTGTTTGGTGGAGCTAATAGAGATTTATCACTTCTTGTGATTATTAATATCTTCATTGCTATTGGAATTCGAAATGAATGGGTGATCAGATTTATTTATTGGATTTTCATTAAAGCTTTCAGAAGTTCTAGAATTCCTGTTGGTATCAGAAAAGAAATTGTTGGAATATTGTATCATATTGGTTTGTGATTCTTTTGAAACATTCATCTTGAAAGTTGCCTGAATCTTTCGGTTTCATTGACATAAATGGTTCTGATGATTTGATTTTTTCGACTGTTTAGGTGGATTGCATAGCGGTTGTGGAGTCTCCGCTATGTTGTGGTTGGGATTATCCGCTTATCAACACTTCAAGAATCATAAAGAAAAGGCATATCATCCTGCACTTTTAAGTATATTATCGATGGCTATCTTGTGTGTTGTGATGACCTGTATTGTGGCTACTCCGATTGTACGCGGTCCCAGACACAAGTAAGTTTTCAGACAAGTATTTCGGATGATGTGAGGTGTTTTATCATTAATATGACTTGTATATACTTTGACCACATTCAGTTTATTCGAACTGATCCATAGATTTGTTGGATGGTCAGTCTTATCCTCCGTTCTGCAAAATACTAATGATCTTAACAAGCTAATGTTTGCACGCTTCTTCTTTCAATATGTTCTCACTTTTTAGGCTAGGAATCATTTTAACCCTCGTCTTTGTTCTACTCAAGCACATTTTATCCAAACATGATACGATTGACGCAGTTTCTTGGGAAAGTTTCGTCGTTGACCCTCAATTCTGGATGATGATCATCATTCTATTCTTGTAAATATTTTCTTTGATGAATATTGATTCCCAAATTCGAATTTGATCTCTCGCAATGACAATCTGATGTATTCTTCTATCTTCATCTCAAGTATAATGTCTTCTTGGATCACGACGCGACAGGTCTCAGTTGAAGTCTTCACCGTAAGGGTTTATTTGGAAATTTTCTTCCAGAAGAACATAAACATGACAAATTCTCTCTTTTCGTCTGTTTCGTTTTTTGTTAGTCTTCAAAAAAAGCAACGGTTATCAAAGTACCAGGCGGATTAACTTCAGGTGTGCATACTCGTATCTCTCGTGGTGGATTAAAAGAATGGCACATCTTTGGTTCTATAAGGTATATTTGTAGTAACAATTTATTTCCTAAAATAATTCAAAACTGACCAGTTTATTTAACTTTGGACAACTTAGTGAAGGAAAAAATGCGGATTGTCACTATTTAGTTGCAGCTGTACAAGGTGACTTTACAACAAGTTTAAATTTAGAACAACCCACACGACTATACACAAAAACTTGGAAGGTGAATCCAAACAGATTTCCATCAGTTTTCTTTCTCTCTTTCCTAAACTCACACTTTTTTTTTCTAACCTTCAAAAAATAAGCCTGCTGGATTACCGTACTTTTCTAGAATGTTTAACAGAGGTGTAGCGGTTTGTACAGGATCGGGTATTGGTGCAGTAGCTTCTACTTGTATACAACATTCGGATTGGTTTTTGATTTGGATTGGACCTGACCTGAAAAACACCTATGGTACCGTCTTGATGGGTTTAATTGAAACCAAGATCCCAGAAGAAAGAAGATTAATTTGGGATACTCGTAGTAAATTAGGTAGACCTGATGTTTTTCCACTTTTAGCTAAAACTTATAAAGAATGGAACGCTGAAGGTATGTGACAATTTGACTGTTCATTCTAAGAACTTGATTTTCTCATTTTGATGCTAACATTTTCAAAAATATTCTCCTATCATGATGAATTAGTCGTCCTTTTTATTGGAAGTCCAGCTCTTAATCAAAATATGCTTAAATCTTCACTCGAAGCTAAAATTCCATTGTTTGTGAGTCAATTCAAATCATCATATCTGAAAATGAAACAAAGAATTAATTTATTAATGATTGTCTGTTTGATAATCAAGGGATCAATTTGGGACGCATAAGCAGTAAAGCCTTATACACTCAAACAAAACACAACTGGTTGTGTCATTGGGGAAGCAGATGACAATAGTTACCATTCTTACTGAGTTTGAGTTTTGGTTTGAGATCAAAAACTTTGACTGATGATCAAGAAATTTCTGTAGTCCTGTGATCACTTTCTATTTCATCTTATCTCATATGTAATTTTTAACAAGATTTTCTCTTTTTTTTTCGAAAAACAAAAAATATATCCTCTTTTGTAATACATACTTTAGAAATGATATGTGATTGATCATTGTTGTGGCGCTGAAAGTGATATTGTAATTTGTACAATCTCGATTTTTCTCTATCCAAAACAAAAATAAATATTTTATATGTTTTACTTAACTTCGAAGTGAAAGACTTACAATGGGTTTGACGACGAGGAAGGCTTTCAACGAAGGACGGCACCGGGGGAAACTAAACAAGTTCCTCTCCCACAAGTGACAGGGCTCTCTCGAGTGGCCGTCCGGAAGGGGGAGCCCGGATAAAAGCTCCGACGGTATTTTTAGCGCATTAAGCCCAGTGCCTCGGATCATCTTTCGGGCTGAGTTCACCTCTCTTCACCTCTGGGCCGCCATTCGAGAAAATACCTCCGAATCCTATACCGAACTTTGACGCATGGATGATAGCGGCATGTTGGCAGTGAAGAAAAATTAAACAATCAGTAAGTTTCAAGGTAATTCAAGTTGTTGAAACCTACCTCTCATAAGTAAAGAGAAAAATCCGTCATGCATGTGAAACATATCCTATGAGGCTAAAAAGAAAACTTGCACTCGGATTCTGCTTGTTTACAACAATATCAAGTTCAAGTACACCGAGAAGATCTATGAAATGAATGCAAATCTGACTGGAAGGAAGATGTACGCATTAGAAAGAAACTAAAAGTCTGATAATATTTTATCAAGCGATCTGTTCTACTCATGAGTACTGAGTTGATGACATTGGACTTCAGAAAAGGAAAAAAAAAAGAAAAAAAAAGAAAAAGAAGGAAAAATTATGAATCAAAGTCGTGATGATCATTGTCATTTTAAGAAAGAATATGAAAGACAATTATCATCCATCAAATATATGATTCGGGATCAACTTGAGCAAAACTTGACAAAAAGGTAGAGTGTGATAAAAAGAAATGTGCAAAAAAGGAGAAAAACATTCCATAGTATAAATATCGAGTAAATCATTTAAGCGTTCAAGAACACTCATGGAAACAACAAAAACCCAAGGATCAAAAAGCTATACGTATGAAAATGTAGATTTTTATAATCTTTTGTTACTGCGTACATATAAAGATCTTATATAAAGCGAAGAATCTAAAGATGAAGAATTGCAAAAGAAGACAAGAATGAAGGATCTAGTTCACCTAGAACCGATTGGAAAAAATGCATCAGGAAAGTGCACCTTGATTGAAAGAGACTGGGCCAATCAATACAAACAGGAAAAGGTTACCGTCTTTCATCGATTTCTATGTTGACAGTATCAAAGTAGGTTACCTCGGTCATCTACATAGCAATAAATGTTTTCGAAATTACATATTTAATGGAAATTCTTTAACGTGGCTATGTTACATTCTGTGGATGTACATATTGGCATTTGAGGTTCTTGTCTTTGTGGGATCCGGATCCAAAAAGAAAAGAAAAGAAGTGGTATGTAACAATGGTCGGGATTGGCCAATCTTAATTTTTGAACCCATTAAAGATTGTATTTCGAGTTGAATTGGTTTTCTGAATCCGAGAATCAAGCTTATGTGAACCTTCCCTAGCCACTATCTCTCGCCTCAATAGGCCAAGCCCAAGCAACAGCGCCATCGAAGGAATTTCCGCGCCAAGGAGTCAGGACATTTGATTTCAAGGAAAGAAAGACGGTCGGGTCAAAATGGTGGAGATAAAGGTCCAATGAAGAAAATGCTGGAAATCTTACACTGCCTTTTTAATTTACAATCAAATTGAGAGATTCTACTTACATACTCGAGATTCGTATCTAGGAAGTTGATCAATGAGAAAGTATATCGTGGCTTGTTTGACCCAAGTGGAGTCGATGTTCTTAATCCAACAATCAGGCTGGGGTTGAAATCATTGGGCACTACAAGGGGGCTTCTAGATACGAGAATGGGTTACAGAGGTCATGTGACGTAGCCACGACGAACGATATACCGTCGAGTCGCGCGTGTTTGCACTCTTGTGCTGTTTACCTTGCGTTAATCCCTCATTACCTCTATTGCAATGAGGGTGCTCTTTACCCTGTGAATGAAATATGGATGATCTCCTATAATCTCGAACTCCGTTTCCTTCTGCTTTCCTTATCTATTAATTTTTAAACTTACTCTCATCAAAGTAAGTACAAAAATTGTACTCTGATCAATTCTCAAGTTTTCGAGATTTCTTTCTTTTGTCTGTTCATATAATTTTTAGAGCCCGCTCACCTTTCCCTTTTTATTTAACCTTGCAATACTTTATTTAACCTTGCAATAATTTTTTTAGTCCGCCTCATAGCGGACCTTTTTTATGCATTTGAGTCAGTTGCAATCTAATGTAGGAATTATTCTACACATAGCTTTTTAGCGGATCCATATCCGTTACTTTGTAAATGGGTCGATAGATTTTTACACACCACGCTTTACACTCCTTAGAGCATCCGCACTCGTGCGGTAAGTCGGGTGCGGTAAGGTTAAATTTACCGCAAACGCGGGGTCTTTTCCACACCGGTGAAAAATTAGCCCCGCGGTAGTTAATTTTCGGTCATTTTGCGTTAGCGAATCGGTAAATTTACCAATTGGCTAACGCATGCGGTATCACACATCACGACTTGTTCCCGGCAACTCGACTCCAAAAACAAAACTCAACCAGACCTCCAACACCAAAGTCAACAACCAATATCTCCTTTTCACCACTCACACACGATGAATTCCAAGCCTTACAGTTGCATGAATCAACTCGAGAACGTTTGACACCGATTGATGTCTTCAATTGAAATAAGTCAATCAACCATCTTGAACTCGACTCCAAACCATTCAGATGAAAATGAAAGATGTCTAGATTCATATAGCTATGTAGAGGTCAATATTTAAGAAAATCAACATTAAAAGACCAATCATTGGAGGACTTTTAGGATCAAGTGATACAAATTAAAAATTGAAGTTTGGATTTTTATTTCCTAGTTTTAAATCTTTAAATCTTTTACAAGATCATTATGTGTATTCAGACTCATTAAAAGCTTTCTCGATGTAGTAAAGCCTTTGTTTTTTAATTGGAATTCATGTATTAAGATCTGAACAAACTCATGTTAAATTTGTAATTTTAAATTAAGATCTATCGATCGAGTAGATGAACAGGATGATATCGGGTCTTCATGTGTAGATGGAGTATTAGTATCTTAGTGCAAAGAAGAGAACAGTGCCTCTATCACATGAAAACTGGCCATGAAAGCAGGTGATGTGTACTCAAAAAATTAAAACTTTACCTTACTGCACGACCGGTGCGGAGTACATGCACTATCTGTAAAGTTATAAAAGTTACAGCGCTGCTAATGCAAACGAGTGCGAAATTTGGTTGAGTTAAGTAACTTTTTACTTAATGTTGTGTTTGTTACCGCACGTGACCAAATTAACAACCGCAAACGAGTGCGGATGCTCTTATTGAGTGTAATTTCGTATGTGTGTAAAAATCCATGTCACCAACGGTGAAATGTAATTTTACACTCGAACCTGCCCAGATTCACGTGTGCAAAAAAATGCTGTGTAAACCCATGAGTGTAAAATTGTATGGCCCCGGGCCCGAAGTATAATTTTACACATGATATTTTACATACCTTATGGTAGGTAAAAAAACCAGGGTGTAAAAATCTTTACAAGGGCCAAAACCCTAATTTTACTCTCAAAGTTCCTCACACTCCTTATCGGACGTAAATCCTCGGAGTGTTTTTTTCCGAAAGGACCCCACCAAAGTTGAGATTTCCACCCCATCTATCTACATAGCTTACACTCCGATCGGCGACCGCGGCTACAGCTTTACCGAAGGTTTTGATTGGCTTACCTGCAGGTACCCTACATGCCCCAACCTTCTTCGATCAAGGGCAAACTCTACCTTTTTGCCAACCTTCTTTCGTTAACTCTCCTTACCACCACCAACATCAACAATAATGATACCGATATTCGATGTGCCCTTTCCCATGGCCCATGTCAACTAAGGACCACCAATCGCCGACTATATCCCTTCGTCATCTCATAGCCAACCGAACCTACGAGCTGATCTATAAGAACGAACCTCTCGCAATACGACGACCCCCTTCCTACCCAACATCAAGTCTCAGAAGGCCACCTCTCTTGACACATCACGCCTTACGCACGATGTCCCTGGTCCTCCTGCGTAAGGAGGCCCCTGGCCTTCTCAATGGCTCACCCCAACCGAAACCTCCTTTCGACTTGGCTCTTTTCCTTTGCTCAGTGCTTTCTGTTCCTCCTCCTGCTCAATTGTTCGACCCAGATTCGAGTGTACCCATTTCTATTTACCACTGCCATCAAATTCTTCAGTTGTATTGGTCTTATCAATTTTACCAAGTTACTCATTATTATCGATTATTCCCGTTAGATCAGTTCATATCGTTCTATTACCTCTATCACTACCTCACTTTCCCTTCCGAAAACTCATCACCGAAACAACTCATCATGTCTTCTATCAAGAGCTCTCGATCTGTTACCCCTGATACCGACGAGGCAATACCACAAACCCAATTCAAAGGACCACCAACTCAAATTGACGAAAAGGCCGCCGCTTTGGTCTCACACGTGTCTGAAACGCCTCCTCCTACCCCTACCAAACTGAAGCGACGCCCTCCCAAGAAAACTGGGAAGAAGTTCAAGATGCCGGTTCCAGCCTCGGGTGAACTTGTCACTTTCATCGATCACGGCACGACTCGCAATCCCCAAGGTTATCCACTTTACCCCAATGGTGAGACTGTGTTTGTACGCCAGCCGCATGACAACATCACGAACTTCGGCCACGTCGCCTACACTCATACCCAAAAAACCAAAGGCACCAAGGAAGGACCCTGGAAGACCGTTTGGTATGCTTGCCTCGGGGTCCTCCGCTGTGATGACGACTTCTGTGCATACACGGCACCTCCTCCAACAGCCGAAGGAAAGGCTGCTGAATACATAAAAGAGTATGTTTTCTCATTTTGTATATATATTCACTCGAAGTTCGACATGTTCCTAATGAACGTGTTTCTTTTTTTCCGTTTGACCATCTCTAGGAACCCCGTCTGCCCGGCTATTGAGTGTAGTGGGACGCACATCTGGACTCAATGCCCCGGGACTATCTGCCGAATCGACATCCAGAAGGACACCGGATGGGGTGTCCTTCGCCATTCCGGATTCCACGCTCACCCTTGGCCTGCCTTGAAAAAGGCCGATCCCTTGGCAATGCTCGACCTCACCGAGGAGGTAGTGAAAAACCCAAAAGCCGGGCCTCTGGTGCTGAAGGTCAGTATCTCGCAAAGTATTTCCAAAAGTCAGGTACGAGACTGACCACTTACACATGTGATGCTTGGTAGGTTGGCCAAGCCGGAGCTGGTCAGACCATTACTCCACCCGTGGTCGATATTCATCCCGCATTTGCCAACGGTGGCCGTTTAGCGTACCTTCGTCGCAAGGTATTGGTAGAGAAGGGCTTGATTCCGGAAAAAGAAAGCAAGGGTGGAGGCGACCGTCTCATAATGGACTTGATGCATTGGGTAAAGTACGTCTTTCACCTACCTAGACTCAAAAAAAAATTGATTGCTGACTCGTTTGTACACATGACATCTAGCCACGGCCTTCGTTTAATCTCTACCTCTCTCCTGGGTGCCAACGTGCACATCACCTTCCAGACGGACTGGATGGCCGAACAGTTAGTACGCCGCGACGCGCTGGGTAAAGTGTACTGCGGAGGTCTTCTTTCGGATGTCACCTATCGGTTCTTTCATCACGGGTACCTTCTTACGACCTCAATGTACAGCAATATTCTCCACCGTTGGATTCCGATTCAACTCACATGGATGTGGGGCTTAGAAGAAAGTCACTATAAGGCTCACTTCACCACGTTGCTCGGCCAGATCAAAGGCGCCGATTTGACTTACCACAAGCGGGACCTCCTTGTGCAACAGGTAGTGGACTTTTCCACCGCGAAAAAGAAAGGGTTTGTTACAGCCCACATGGAAGTTTTCCAAGAACACGACCCCGCCAAGGCCTTGAGCAAACTCAAAGGCTGCCATGAACACTACCGGCAGTTGATTACTCGAATCAAGAAGAACCGGAATGTGGTCTCAGCGGGCCGGCTGGTGAGTCAAACTGTAGGACCAGGTTCACGGGCTTGAGGTTAGATGCTGATCTTGACCCACTTGCATACATAGGCTGAGTTTGAACGACTTGCTCTGGATCTCCTCGAACCCAACCAAGCCGGCGACCTCACTCTCACCGAGAAGTTTGCGCAAATCGGACGACTCTTTCCTAAGGCAAAGCCTTGGATCGACTGGTGGAACACGGCTGACATTCACAGCATGTTGTTCTGCGCCCGGGTCCGGCTCCCCATGGACGATCCTCCTCTCCCAGAAGGTGAGGATCCCCACGAGTATCCGGATACGACTAACGGACAGGAGTCCATGCATCGGCAATACTATATTCTCACGTAAGCTCTTTGTGTATGTGGATGCCTTACATTTTGTACTGACGCGATGCCTTTCAATTTCTCACAGTTCTGGTCACTGTACGATCATTCAAGGATTCATTCAGTTGTTACTCTTCGGCGAGTCCCTCAAGAGGGACTTCAACAGCGTCCTTCGAGGCGTATCAGTCAAGTACGGCAATAGTTGGCAATCTGTCGTTGAGACGATGGGTTGGTCCAAAGAGCAAACTCGACGACGCCCCAAAACCAACGACGGTCGTCCGCCTGACACGACCAACGCGTTGCTTTGTCCGAAGAAACTTGGCCGGCCCACAGGTTCAGCTAATGTCAACAGGGATCCCCACTCATCTTATCAGTCCTACTCGGCAAGCACCGAACCCGGCAAACTCAATTGATGTTGGGAGACATCGACCTTGGAGGCTTTGTATCCTACCTTTTCCCCTCTTTGGATCGAGGGATCCAAGGGCAAGGGGAAGGATATCACTTCCAAATTGATCCGCCATTACTCGTCAAGACTCTCAGCCGAAATGCATCGATCGACGCACATCAAGTCGGTCTTAACCCGGGGTCTCAAATCAGTTCAAACCGCGGTTCAAAAGCTCTCGCCGGACTCATTCGTAACCGACGCCTTCTGTTCTGCCGACTTATTCATGGAGTATCTTCTCATTGCGCAAAGAAATCGCCCAACATCCGCCGGTCGTCTATTTACTTACAAGTTAGTGCGTGACTATCAATGCACAGCTTTTTCCTCACATGAAGAGCAAGAAACTTCGGTTAGAGCGACTGTGGCAATTACCAACAATCTCTTTCATGACGCCAATCTGCAATATTTGGAAGTGGGTAAGCTGATCACCCTTTGGAGTACTGAAGGTCTCTTCTCCAGCAACCTTTGATGTTGCACGACCTGTCGCGCAGACCATACGCAGAACCCTGCGTCGACGGACGGGGACGTTTCCAACAATGAAGTGACCGTTGGCAAGGTGGACAATATCCCTCGCTTGTACGAACGATGCCGTTTGGATTTCACTGGCCAACCTATGAATGTCTACTTCCACCTTCGAGGGGTGGCAGGTTTAACCGAGGATGATCGGATCAGCTTCATGGCGGAGATGGACTGGCCTGAGACTCTGGTTCTCAACAACGTCTTGTATGAAATAGTTTTGAGGGGTTTTTGGGGTTACCATCATTATTGGAGCAAGGTGGTGAGACACGTAGATGGTGTTAGGGGCGTGTGGTTCTATGACGATCGAAAGGACGACGGCCGCGCTCAGCTTCTGGGTCGAGATCTCTCGTCAATTTCGGGGCCTCAACCATCCACCAGTTGGCTCATATATTCTTGCAAGCCTACGTCAAGCGAACAGAAGGTGATAGATCTTGGAGTCGCCAAAATCTCTGCGAAGAATCCTGATGCCCAGGGCGATTTACCTTTCATTTTGCAACCGGAGTTGGATGACGTCGAGGACATCGAAGAAGATTTGCCAGACTTACCGGCATTGGATCCTCCCTTGGCTCCGGGGATGGGCGGATCAGTCGCAAGTCAGACCTCCTTTAAAAGCGCCAAGCTCGCGTTTACATCAGCTGGTAAGTGACAAGTCACATTTATGGTGTCGCTTTGTGATACAATCAACCTGACCCATTGCAACCCTTTTGTGTAGCGTCTCCAGCCGTCGATGAACTTGAGGAACCAATGGGTTATGCTAATTCGCAAACCGATCAAGCCAAGCAGGCATTTCTTCAAACTGAGAACTGTAGGTGACTTCTCATTCCACATTTCGCTTCATCTCAAACTGATATGGGGTGTTTTCAGGTCCCTCGTCAACCGCTCCACCGACTGTGATGAGAAGGGAGGAGGGGGAGGAGGATAGCAAGCAAGTGCCAGCCTCCCTGCCCGAAAATACGAAGAAGGCCGACGTCAAGGGGCCGTTGAGTGTCCGCCTGCGTGTTAACAAGCGCCCGAAATCACTGGCTTCTCCGTCACCTCAGAAAGGTGCGAAGGTCAAGAAATGTGGGGCCAAAGGGAAGGCCGATTTACAGGTGGTCAAGAAAAGGACCTGGTGGTAGAGGGAAAGGCTAAGGCCTCGCCAAAGCTCAAAGGGAGAAAGAAAAAATGATGTAATATTGGTTATGTTTCTTTTCCGCACACGGTTTTTTTAGACAAATTTGTGATGATTATGAATGTGAAGGTAAGCACAGGAGTCGTCGTTTTTTTATCTCATTGTCTTGTGTCTTCGTTAGTGTCTCAGTTTTATGTATGATGGGGGCCTGAATGGAAATGCACATTGGCCAATTAAGCGGTGGACCACCTGCTCAGCATAAGCTAAGCTCGAGACATTAACGTGAGCGCAAAGAGCGAGAAAATAGGGCCCCGGAACCGTATTGTCTTCCTGATTTTGCGCCAAAAAAAAGTTCTAAGTCCAAAATTTTTAAAAAAGTTCTAAGTCCAAAAATTTTTGACACTTCGTCGCGTGTAAATTTGCATGTCCCGGGGCGGCTGATGGATTTTTGCGCTCCATCCATATCGACTCCTTATTGTGTGTAACATCTTGGAGTGCAAAACTAGGGCTTAGGCCTCCAAAATTTATTTTTACACCCTACTTTTTTTGCCTACCATAAGGAATGCAAAATATCGCGTGTAAAATTCAACATTGGGACAGTGCAACTCCACTTTTACACTCATCGTTTTACACGTGATTGTTTTACACACGAGGTTTTGGGGAAGCAGGAGTGTAAAACTGCATTTCACCCGTGTGAAAGTGCATTTTTACACACAACAGGATTTACACTCAATAAGGAGTCAAAATCGTTGTGTGTAAAAATCTCCTAACCCTTTGTATTACTTTTGCTAAAAAGGAAGCCCCGGTTGAAAAAAAATAAAAAAGAATGTAGCCCAGTGTTTCACCGCAGTCACTGCGGTGGGTGTGGAGCCTGAGCAGCCGCATTCCATTACCTATCCCAAATTTGCCAATCCCCTCACCACCTAATTTTCTTTTTCAGAACTCAATCATGAAATCAAAGCATCAGCACGTCAACCCAATCTTTCTTGATTGTTCCTCCCCATCCAATCCATTGGCCAATGAAGTTCTCAATATTGATTCCCCGGACTCTGGGACTGTTCAACTTCAGGTGATGTTTTCAAGCTATTTTTCACCTATAATGTCCAGTATCCAATATACTCATCTTTGACTATTCCAAATCTTACAGAGCCCACAACTGAATATCAACAATGAAGAAGACGGTGGAGGCAGCACTGCATATACTTTCTACTTTGAGTGTGAATTTTGGGTCCCTTGCAATAAGTCCAAGTCAGGATTCTCACAGATCTCTTGCTCTGATTGGATTCAACTCGGGACAGTATGGTGGTAAGTAACGAAGAAGAATACCTAAAGTTGTAAAGGTCCCGCTTGAGTCAGTGGATTGAAAACAAGACACAGGAAGGATAATGAGATTAGACACACCTCTCTTACGACAGAGGTCAGAAATTGATCCACCACGATGGATCGAGGCATTGTCCAGCACTAAGACACTATTGTCCGCTGGGAATCGATTCATGCAAGGAAGCTGTACAATGAAATGAGGTCAGTGTGGAACAATGGGTATTGAAGTAAAGGTAAAATCACGAACTAAGCTGTATTTCAAAAATTTCTCGAATCGCTTTCGATTCACCGGCCCCTCAAGAACTGAAAGATCCAGCAAGCCATCATAAGTGATGGCTGGAAGGAGGGAATACCGACCTTGATGCATCTTAGGCACCTTGCGAGTAGTGCGTATTCCAATCTTGCTTCGCTGTCGTTTTCGTAGCAGATCCCGTCCACAGACTGCGCTCTCGTCTGCAACTCGTGAGAAGGCAGAGGATTTCAATACAGAATATTTGAGATAGAAAGTGAAATAATACTGACCCGTAAACACTAAGAAATTGGACGGATAGCCCATCATATCGCGCATCCATTTCAACTTTGGCATCAAGGATTTCCGAGCATTACTGACACAGGCCTTCTTCAAGCTTATCATAAGACGGCTCATAAGTTCGAGATGAATGGTACTTATGGAAGGCATCTTCCCATGTGCATTGTAAAGCTTTTCTTGAATCTCGTCAAGGAAAAGTGCTGGCTGGTCAAGGACCAATTCTTCCATGAATTTGCGATCCGTGGCATTCAAGTGCTGGCGCCGACCACGGCGTTCGTAGGTGTCGGGATCGCGTATGACTGCACGAGTTAGGTTGTAGAGCTCAATCCATCGACCAAAGGATCGGCGAGAAATACGCTTGCTGAGTCGCTGTCGGATTAAAGATCTTGAAAGTCCTTGAAGACTGTAGCAAACAGCAAGCACCTTGATATCAGCTGAATATTTACGGAACCCCATTGAGAAGACAACTATTGAAATTGATTGGTTGGTGGTAGCCTCTCTTGAAGGACCTGAATCAAATTGGCCGGGATTGGAGGCGGGGCTGCACCTGCTAAACCTTGTCTGCTGATGTACGCCCACCGCAGTGACTGCGGTGAGATTCTGGGCTACATTCTTTTTTATTTTTTTTCAACCGGGGCTTCCTTTTTAGCAAAAGTAATAAATGGCTTTACACCTCGATTCTAGCTAAAACCTTCTCATTGTGAGTTTACATAGCTCGGATCAGCCAGGTTCCCAAGAAATCGAGATTTTCTTCAAATCAACTGGTCGGCAGTAAAGCTGAGATTGATTGTGACATCTGTCAACCTTACACGCCACATCCAACAATTATGCAGATGCTTATCAGCGATATGTACATCTCGGGAAACCCGGTGTTCAACTCTCTACATACACTGCCTTGTTATGGGCCTTTTGCATAAGTTATCCTACGAGGAATCACCCCAAAGGTGAAGTTTGGACCACCTTGACCTTCAATTTGTAAGTACGGCCCGCAAAATCCAAGTGATTTGACTTGGAACTCTCCTCAAGCTTTGTGAGACTGACTGTGCCTCATTTTTTTGATCCAAATCAGCTTGAATGATGATTCGGCGCATACAATAGTGTACGACAGTTCGATTAAGACTATTAAGAGTTTACCCGGGATTTTGAAGTTCGATTAAGAAGATACCTGGGATTTTGAAGTCCAATTGACACAGACCCACACCTTTTCTTTCGCTTCCATTGGTACACATGAAAGATGAACAAAATGTTTGAAATCTAATCATACATATGTGAGCATATGTGATCAGACAGTAGGCTGTGAGATCAAGAAAAGACGGTTAGAGTTAAGGTGAAAATCATCAGCCCTATTACTCATCGAAGGATGTCCCTGTATTTTTTTTCACTGTGTTCACTCACACAATCACTGTCCGATTGAAAAAGGCTGTACCAATAGATAACCGTGCTGTTTTCCACAGATAGCGGAAAACAGTTCATCGACCATTTAAGCTTTTGGGTTTCTCGGCGAACTTCCCATTGGTGAAGTTTGCCGGCCGAGCTTACTTATGAGACGGTAAACTGGTGGCTGACTGACCTCGTGAATCATAACGGCGATCTCATTGAAGATAGGTTTGAATCCATTCTTCATCAAGGATTAGTCGAATTCATTTAAGCAAATTTCACGGAAATATTTGTTGTGTAGTCGATGTCTTAGTATGGAAGAATGAGGTCATACTAAAAAAAATAAAATAACACACAGCTTTCTTTAAAAGAAGCGGATCAAGAATGAGATGTGAAATCTAGATAAGAATCAAAATCAAAACTCAGGGATTCAAACCATTTTCAACGTTCAGTGTCGGGGTTAGGGTACACCATCAAAGAAAGAGCAAGACGAGAAGGCTGTGTGAGATCAAAGAAGACAACCAGCATGTTAGATTGGACATGTAGTGAATGATTGGGCAATTCATTTTACTCATCTCTCCTTTCTCAGCACAATGCTTGGTGTAGTTTTTTTTCTCTTCCATATACCACAATGCTATGCTGTTCTTTATCTTGGATATCGGTTTGATTGATTTCACTGATTGCGTTATGGTTGTGTTGAAAAGATGTGAATATAAAAGGACCTATGTGGTCTCAATCTGCTTCATCCATTCTCTTCATCAGTTTCTTTTATTCGATCAGAAGTCTACTTTCCTCTATTTCATTATTGACCATTATAAAAACACTAGAAGATTCAATCATCCTTTTAGTTTTCAAAGCGCGTGTCGTTAGTTTCTGAGAAGCGTCTGTTGTTCTCTGATCTGCGTGTTGTTATCATTATTCATAACAGCGTATCATTCTCATCCAGAAATCATATCATTCTCGTCTTAATATAAAGCTCTCTTCGCACCTATCTATCACCATTATCTACAGCCAATCTCCATAGATGGATTCTCTTGCAATCAAACCAGTCCAATATTCAGGTCAATTCGATAAAGACTATATTACCATTACTCCTACCCAAGAAGATCCGCAAAACAAAGTTGTAGTTAAAACTTTACATCAATCCAATTCCAGCTCAACCTTAAGGAACCCTCCAAGTCTGCGTTCGATAGTGTATAAGGCTGAATTTAATTCTAAATCTAATCTATCACTCGGATCAAATCAAAATCAATCAGAATTAGATTCTCAACATCATGCTACTTCTTCTTCTTCTGATTCAACTAGCACTGTAGTAGAAAATATAGAAGTTGTTGTTAAATTAGAAGAAGTAACAAGTAACATTAAATCAGATAAAGCTGTAGTTGAGAAAAAATCTCCCTTAGATAGTTTTAAATCACATTGGTTAGATTTCTTAACTTGGTTTACGCCTTATCGTCAAATTTTCCTTGTGGTTGTGACTGTGAATGCTTCAATAGTGATTTCCATCATATCTGGTGCACTTGGAGGTCCTAAAAGAGATCTTTCCTTAGCAGTTATTCTTAATATCTTTGTTGCTATTGCAATTCGAAACGAATGGGTGATTAGATTGATTTATTGGATTTTTATTAAATCATTTAGAAGTCCAAAAGTTCCGATTAAGATTAGAAAACATATCGTTGGAATTTTATATCATATTGGTTAGTTTTCATTTCCGATGGATTTCTTGTTTTCCCGTGTGATCATCATCCTAAGAATTCAAAAATTGATTATTGGTGTTTTTTTTTTCACCTTTTTTTTAGGCGGACTTCATAGTGGTTGCGGTTTATCTGCATTGTTTTGGTTAGGATTATCTGCATATAGACATTTAAAGAATCCAAATCACTTTCATCCGGTTGTGATTACTCTTTTATCAATATCAATCGGTTGTATCTTAATCACTTGTATTACCGCTACTCCTATATTTCGTGGTAAAAGACATGAGTCAGTTTTTAATTCTTTCTATAAATATCACCCTTTTTTGTCTTGCCTATTATTTTTCTTGTGCTGATGTTTATGGTCGTTTTTCTAGTCTGTTCGAAATGATTCATCGGTTTATTGGATGGTAAGTTTTTATTTATCCTTTCCAATTAAGATTTCTGAAACATTCTTTTAGAATTGTCTAATTTTCTGTTTTTTGTACTGTTACGCTTCTTCAGGTTGGGAATCATTAGTACTCTGGTTTTTGTAATCTTAGGACATTTATTATCAAGGACGAATCCAATTAAAAATATGATGGATGTCATACTCGATGTTCAATTTTGGTTGATGATCACAATTCTTTTTTTGTGAGTTAAACTGAAGAGCTTGAATACAATATCCTCTGACATGTTTCATACAAATATTGATTTGTATCCGAACATTCGCAGTATCATTTCCTCTTGGATCACAACTCGACATGTCGATGTCGAATGTTTTGCGGTAAGCTTTTCAAATACTGTGAAAATCATATCATGAGTACAGTAGGACTGATTTAAATTCGACTTTGGATCATTTCTTTGTTTCTTTCAAACTCAATCAGTCTTCCAAGAAAGCTACGGTGGTCAAAGTTCCGGGTGGATTGACTTCAGGTCTTCATACCCGAATCTCCCGTGGTGGTTTGAAAGAATGGCACATCTTTGGATCAATAAGGTTCATTTTTCTTCAATCTCTTTAGATTTCAGTGGGAAAGAATAGAATGAATTCTGATCCGTTAATATTTTCTTTGCTTTGATGATCTTAGTGAAGGAAAACATTCAAATTGTCATTATATCGTAGCAGCTGTTCAAGGTGAATTTACGGGGGGTTTGAACTTAGATCAACCTACTAGACTTTACACCAAACTATGGAAGGTTAGCTCAACAAGAAACCCATCCTCAACCTCTATCTCACCCATCATCCCACCACTAATCGAGCCTTACGTTTTATTTTTTCAAATCGTTCAAAGCCTGCTGGATTACCATACTTTTCTAGAATGTTTAATAGAGGAGTAGCCATCTGTACAGGATCAGGGATCGGAGCAGTAGCTTCAACTTGCATTCAACATTCAGATTGGTTTTTGATTTGGATTGGACCTGATTTACAAAACACTTATGGATCTGAAATCATGAATTTGATTGAAGATAAAATTCCAACAGATAGAAGATTAATTTGGGATACTCGTGGTCCTTTAGGTAGACCTGATGTATTCTCACTCTTATCTAAAACTTATAAAGATTGGAATGCTGAAGGTATGTGAATTGTTTCGATTCTGCTTCATTTAAGCTACTTTACTAATTCCTTTTCATGATTGAACACAGTGGTACTTTTTATTGGTAGTCCTGCTTTGAACAAAAGTGTACTTAGATCATCAAGAGAACATAAGATTCCATTATTCGTGAGTCTTTTGAGAAACATCCTTCTCTTTTATTTATGATCATTGACCAATTTTCCGGATATCATGGATCACAGGGATCGATCTGGGATGCATAAATGTATTTTTCGATAAAACATTTAAGAAATTATTAGAATCAAAATCGAATTGGATTCATCCAATTATTAATAAGCATTATTATTCAACTATAGAGAATCTATTTCAAAGAGAAAAGATTCGGGTTCGTTCTTCTTCATTCTGCAAAGCTTATCATTTGGGTTTCAGCACTATTCTTTGAGCTGTATGTTTTTATTTCTCTAGATTTCATGTTTTTACTTTTCGTTGTTTTTTTCTTTCGTGGGTTTAATTTCCTCTAGAACTTTACATTTTTCTCAAAAGGACCAATTTTGAATCTTCTTTTTTTGTATTTGTGGTGATCTGTGAGTCTATGGACTTCATCTTTTTTTCTTATAATCATTGAGTTTACTTTTTGCAATCTTCTTACCACTCTGTTCTGTATCCTTGTACAATTATTTTAGATAGAAATCAATAGAACTTTTTTAAATTTCTGTCTTTAAGTTATCAGTGGCACTGGGGTTCAAGTTAAGCAAAAGGCAAATTTAATGTACTTGAGCCTCTTGGCCCATCAAAGTTTATCTGTTTCCAAAAGGAAAACACTAGGAATGTGCTTTTCAGTTGGGACTTTCTCAGAGTCTTGAATTTTCAAACGTTCAAAGCAGCATTTTGATGTAGGTAAGGGACAGCTATCGCTTAGGCTTCTCCCCAATTCAAACCCCCCTATTTTGAAGGCATCAATGTATGTCCTAATTCAGGCTCAGCTCCTACCCCCAAAAATCTTTCTGTGCTTTTTGTTTGGCATGCCACTTCAATTTGTTGCATGCCTTGGAGTGTGAGTTTGGGTGTGTTTGTGTATCAGAACAGCAGGCAATTTAGCTACCACCATGCACAGGACCTTCATTCACAGGATAGCATTGATGTTAGCCCTTCTCTTTGTTCTACTCAAGCATATTTTATCAAACAGAAATACAATTCACTCAGTATCTTGTGAGTTTTTTGTGGTTGACCCTCAATTCTGGATGATTATCATCACATACAAGGGATGTGAACTTAAGCTGACAATAGGGGTTATGTAATCATTTGGATTGAACCTTCCCAAGGAAGGCGGCTCAATTTACATTGTGAATACAGGCTGTACAGAGCAATCCTTCCTTTTATAGGGCAGACATAAAGCTTGACAAGTAACCTCAAGAATTGAAAATGGGGTATTCTTTTGTGGTTGATCAATGGTAGAATACATGTACAAAATCAGTCTGTATGACTTTTCCTGCAAGGTAAAGTCCTGCGTCCACCACATATGTTTTCTTGATGTCAAGAAGGGCAGATTGGTTGGGGTTTGGTGGCACAAAGAACATTTCAAAGTTTTCATTTCTTCCACTCAGTAGAAACCTCAGCAACCCTCAGCTTTTTGAAATTTTGTACAGCTCAGACCTGCACACCAATGTGCTGACTGAGCTATATACTGATGATCCAAGGAAGTGGAAGTATACAAAACAATATTTAATCAGTAAGCTTTGAAAGACCTATATAAGCTAACCTTAACACAGGAAAAGTGGTTGATAGGGGATTTAGTAAATTGATGGATCTGGAAAATTCAAATTACCATCTTCCTCTGTTTTTATTTCTGGTTCCCAAAGTTTGCCAACATTCAGTCTTCTAACAGGACAATCAGATTGAAGTCAAATTAATTCATCTTGCCAATTATCCATGATATCAACTTTGCATATTTTGAAGTGTTTATTGAGATCATATGAAAATGATATGGTATAACAGCCCTTGACAAAGTTTCAGAAATCAGTCTTAAGTTGATTAATTCAGTATAAAATGAAGTAAGGTGGTGAAGTTTTCTAGAATTTGCTTCATTTGATTGAACTTCTTTCCAAAGTTGGTATACAAAGTCATTTAAAATTTGATGGATAATTTCATATGGTAATGCATTCATCTTGTATTTGATGGCCATTTGTCTTGTTGATTTTAATAATTTTGATTTTTGGTTATAAGTTGAATTGAGTGGTAATTGAGATGATGACATAATGAAATGCTCATTGAATCATTTCATTGGTTTTCTATTCCTCTCCACCATCTACCTTTATGCTGTGTCAAATAGCTTGAGTATTTTCTCTGTTTACCATTGCAATAGTTGGGCAATGAGACAAATTATTTTCAATTGACACCATCAAGTGTTAAACAATTCAATTACCAGCCCAATTGTCCATTTGATCAATGCCATTGTCATTGTCATTGACTGGAACCATGCATTCATCTTTTCACTATTGAAGAGCCCAATGACACAAGCTGCTCTGGTGTCTCAAGTTTTATTTTTGGATGCCAGATGATCTTGGGTCCATTTCTTAGTGAAGTGTGGTACAAGTCATGTGCAACAGGGCCCAAGCCTATAAGTTTATACTATACATAGTATGAACAGACTCATTGTAGTTTGTTCCTGGCTTCTTAGAAGCTGTCATAGACCTTGGATACCAACTCCTTACTGGAGGTGGTCAGAAGCCTACAGAGTTATGTTTTGGGGTTGGTCCCAAAGGTAAGGAACCTTGGGAGGTAGCCTCAGCAAACCCCCTTCCTGAATCCTTACCTCCAGGATTAGAACAGCGCCTGAGAAGCATGAGAACTTCTCAACCTGGGAGGTGGGTGGGGTTTTAAAACTTTGAGATCTATAAGGGAGTGACATGTATGATCTCCAGAGTGTGTGTTAGGAAAAGAATAGGTGTGATGGACTCGGAGAGAGAGTAAAAACTCTAACTCTCATCATCCCATTACTCCCTGGTACCCAAGTATCTCTTGGGTTCCGTGCCTACCCGTTGTGGTGATCAATTTATGGGATCAATTAAAAAAATTCACAATTAGCAGTTTACCAGTTTATTAGAAGGATTTAGCAGGACAGAAAATTTAAAATGGAGGTTTTTTGATCAATTGAAGCTCTTGTAGGCTTATGTATTGGTCATAAGGATAAAATTACATCATTATATTTCACATTACTTATTAAGATCATTATAGTTTATTCACAAACTTATTACAAAAAGAAAGAAAGAAAAACATAAGAAAAATTTGAAAATATAGGTACATAGGTTGGAAAATGGTTTTTAGGGTAGTAAAAATAAAGTTATGGGTATTATGAGGTTAGAATATGACAGAACAACATTATATTATACTGTGACAATTTTAATCTTGAAGGTTGATAAGAAGAAACAAAAGTTATTAGAGAAAAGGCACTTTTTCGAAGTTGGTAAACAAGAGGTATACGTGTAGTTTGCATATGTAATGGTGGTAGTAATGGAATTTAAGGTTGCCAAGAGGGTTTCCCGGGATTTTTAAGGCTACAGAAGATGATGTCATATTACATGAGCAAGAAAAAGAGAGTAGCAGCTGTGAAAATTGGAAAAAATGGGTGAATTTCGTCAAAAATGCAGGTTTTCAGCTTATTACATATGTCAAATGACGTCAGATTAGGTTGGTAGATGGCTCATTCAAAGCAGAAGAGTGAATTACATAATGTACAAACTTTAAATTAATATTAGCGGAGGTTTATGAAAAAAGTTATAAGGCAAATAAAGAATTGGTGTGAATCTCGAATTTACAGTCACAAGTCAACATGTAATGCTCAAAACCTTAACTTCACAGCTCAATATCTTACTCATCACTCATCAGAAGTAGGTCATATGGGTGTCATAAATGATCAGTAACACGAGGGCTACAAGATGCACTTTAGTAATCAAAAATTGGAGCACATCTGAAAAGATTTGTAATCTCAAAAATTGGTTTTCAGCTAGTTTACAAGGAAAAAATCACCTGTATTCATCATAAGAAGTGCTGTACATCATATTATTGCGTCACTGATCACTTTTGGCTGTGAAAATTACATCATTTATTAGTAACAAAATTATTACATTGTGTCATCATAGGGTTTTTAGGGATTTCTGGGCGGATTTGATTGGTTTTGAGGCTGTTGACCATTGTAAAAGTTAGAGTACATTGTTATATATACTTTGAGAGGATTCTGGGACTGTTGTTCCCCTTTTTTCTTTATCATTTACGCAGTTATTATTTTGTTTATCATTATAAACTTATGTTAATAGTACCTGGTCACTTAAATACGCCCTTTATTATAGCTATAAAGAGAAATTTACTTCAGTTTTATAGTCAAAAAGACTCATTGGGAATAATACCAATAAGATATTGCTTATTTTCTTCAGTTATCATTTGGGAATAACACTATAGCAGTGTTGATAGTAATAAAAATTGTGCTTTTGAAGTTGGAACACGTGTGAAGATATATTTCTCTGGTGCCTTATCTGTACTCAATACAACAGAGTCTTTTCCTGATTGTGTTGTTTTAGAAGAGCAGTCTCAGACAACTTCTACTAGTCATTTTATTAGTAGATTATCCTCTTCTAGCTCTGTATAACCCTTGTTGGGTTATAAGTTCTACACCGTACCTGTAGCTTCTACCATTTCCTACACCACAGGAGTGTTCTGTGTCTGAAGAACTTCTGTTGGGCAGGCCGTCTGTAGCGGGACCATAGGGTGTCCTGAAATGGTCTTATCCCAGCACAAAATGGTCTTCAGCAACCCCAAGCTTTCTGAGACTAGATTAGACCATTCTGTGACTCCTGGAGTCCCTGTGTTCCTGCTACAGACCACCTATCCCACAGGCTCTGGGAACACATGCAAACAATTCATTCACCTCTTCCTCCTTGAATTCAAACTGCAGTTGAATTCAAACTGCAGGAGTTGCTGCATTCAATGTAATTTCTGGACAAGCATGATGCTTCTGGTCTTATCATGTGATATACTCAATCATTTTAGTAGAGTGAAGTTTCTTTTTCCTTCCTTCAAAAACACATTAGACCCCAACAAACTCTGGAACACTGCATTCAGGCATGATCAACTTTCAGAATCCTCCGATCAAAAAAGGAGTTATGAATTTTTTTTGTTTTGACTTTGGTTGTTGTCAAAAGTAATCCTGATTATTGGCTAAGGAACGGTACCCCACAACTTGAACCACAATACCGGTCATATTTTAATCAAGTTACAAACTCTTGTAATATTTGATTGATGAGTTCTACTGGTAATTAATGACATATCAATCTGGTTCATTTCTTATGTGGATTATCTTCTGGCTGTTTGATATTGTATATTTAGTATTGTTGACAATCAAATTTCTTGTTCAGTTCCTTGTAGTTTTGTGTTTATCTTGAAAACCAAAACTTAAAGAAATCAAATTTGAAGAAATCATTTTTCAAATCTGCTGACCACCACAGTAAAGATAGAATAGCCCCCCCACCATGTAAATATCCGTGTAGCACGTCGACGTGCACACACGGAGAGTTTTGAAATAAATCTCAAAGTCTTTTGGTTGAAATGAGACTGAGATTACTGTTGAGCACCCTTTGTGCTTTGTGATTTGTTCAAAGGATTTTCATAATCCTTTGTTGTCAGCAGGGGTCAACTGCCTTTCAACCTCCCAGGTGATAAGGGGAAGATGCGCTTGATGTGGCACCTCTTTGATGGGTCGTTACAGGTTCTACGGAGAGGCTTTCGTGTGTGCACGTCGACGTGCTACACAGATATTTACATGGTGCCCCAAGGCAAGTTGATCTTGCACCAACACTTGCTTCAAGGAATGAATGACATTTAAGGTGTATTGATCTTCCTTCTCTGGCATACTCAATGCAGGTGTGTGTGGGTCTTGGCACTGATTGACTGGTGGACAAGGGCACCCAATCCACCCATCCTTTGAAGAAGGGATACAGGTTGATCCAATGAGCCAAATGCAATGAATTTTGGCACTGAATTATCAAAATTGAACTTCAAGAATGCATACTCTGTGCCAGGACTTCTTACTTTCTGATAGGTTGAAATCAAAAATGTTAAATTAGCACAATGGAGCTCACCCTATCCAAGTCCAATAGACCACCATATCAGGTGGTGGGTGCAGCATAAATGGTGCATCAGGCACACCAAAATATTTCAAAAATAGGGGGTGGCACGCCCATATGCAAGAATCAAGTATCTGAAGATTGGCAAGCCTTCTTGAATGTGATCTTGGCCTAGAGAAAGGTCATATGGTGCATGAAATAAGAAAATAAATTAAATGCAATCAGTCTTCCCACAGTACAATGTCTCTGGGCTTCATGTGTCAATAGTTTTTTTATTTATCTAACTCTTAAGACAGAGAAAGTTGAGCAGATGGACCGGTGACTTGCAATATTATTGCCATCAATTGCCATTCATAGTTGTGCAAGACTGGAAATATTGTTTGAACAATTTTTTTCTCCCATCATTATTTTAAAAGTATGAATTCTAAGTCAAAATTTGTGTGCAATCCCCTTATCACAGATCCAATTGCTGTTTTCAATGTTTGGGTTGTTCTTCTTTCCCTTTTTTTGCACAAATAGCACACCCTCACGCCCCCTGCTGTTCAGGTGTGCCCAGGAGAAAGGATTTTGTGCCTGAGTGCACCTCTCCCTGTGAAACCCTTGCCTACCACCTGACTACCACAGCATGTTGTTTATTACATTTCCTACTACACTGCAAGCCACAATTTAAGCAAGCAAGATCTGCACAGTGGCATCCTATACAGTCAACTCCCTTGAAATCCATATCCCTCTAATCCCATACTTCTGCCTAACCCATAGAAATTTGGGTCCATAAAATTTATAGGCGGGGAAAAGTGGCCCAAAACCCATACCTCACACTATTCCCATGACCCATAACTTTTTTTAGGAAACTCAGGTCAAAATCCATAACCAAAATTTGCCAAAGACAAAGATTTATAAAAAAAAGCCGCATCCTTGTGAATTTTTCAGCATAATCAATCTCAAAATGCTTCCAAAAGACCTTTCACAATTCAGCGTATCAGATATTGAAACAGGTTTCAATGCTTTACAAACAGAGAATAACAAACAACTCAAGCCTCTCAAGCAACTTATCAGTGAAGGGAAGAAGTTATCAGAGGCAGATGAAAGATTCATAGACTGTGCTGGAAACTTAATAGATGAAACACTTGTGTTGAGGAAGATCATAGAAGAGGGGAATGCGGCTAAGGCTGCCAGTCAATTCAACAATGATGAACTGAAGAGACTGGAACTTTTGGTTTTGAAATTCAATCAGACCAAGGAAGCGGTGATTGCTAAAAGACCAAGTAAGTGGTAACCTTCAGGATGTAATTGAGTTGTTCACTTGTTGAAAAGATGTGTTGTTCAATGTTTTAGGCTCCAAGAAACATGTAGCCAAGGAAAGTAAAGGAAAAAATAACCGGCCAACAAGTAAAAAGAATAAAGCTGCAAAGGCTCAATCAACTCTGGCTCAGCGAGTTGAAGTCCTTGATTAGTACGAATGGAAGGGTTGCAATCAATCTAAGACTGCCCGACACTTTTCTGAAATCTATCCCAAGTTGAACATCAAGCAACCACTCGTTTCAGAATGGGTCCAAGACAAGACCAAGATTCGAGAGAATCATCAAGCTGGTCACACTGGATCTCGAAAGAACACATCCAAGCATCCGCAGGTCGATGAAGCACTTCAAGCCTGGGTTCAACAGGCTGTCATTGCAGGCTTAACAATCACGGGCGATGTGATACAATCCAAGTGGTGTGAATTCGCTAAACTCTTCAAAATCTCTGAACAAGACTGGCTTGCTCTTAGTGAGGGATGGCTCACTCAATTCAAGACTTGGAACGGTTTACGCCACATAAGAAAGCATGGAGAAGCTGGCTCCGTCCTTCCCGATACAGTAGCTGCCGAGCGTCAACGCCTCTGAGAAATTACCAACCTTTACCATCCATGAGATATTTGGAACATGGATGAGACTGGTCTATTCTACGGGTTGGTTCTCTCTTTAACATATGTATACAGTGTAACATTTATCAATAACAATCACCTTCTTATGTTTTAGCATGCCCCCCAACAAAGGTCTTGCATTTGGTCCAAAATCAGGGGTTAAAGGTGATAAGCAAAGATTGACCTATGCCCTTGCTGCTAGTGCTGAAGGTGAAAAGATTGAACCTTTAATTATTGGCAAGGCAAACAAGCCTGCATGCTTCAACAAGAAAAGTGGCGAGAGAGAGCCTCCCGAGCACAAGCTTACAAACATTCGGTTAGAATTCTTCGCACCCAACCTAACCTCACATATCCAACCCTTGGATGCCGGAATCATAGCCTCATTCAAGTGTCGCTTCAACAAGAAAAGTGGCGAGAGAGAGCCTCCCGAGCACAAGCTTACAAACATTCGGTTAGAATTCTTCGCACCCAACCTAACCTCACATATCCAACCCTTGGATGCCGGAATCATAGCCTCATTCAAGTGTCACTACCAATCAAACTTTATCAACTATTCACTGAAGTGTTATGATGCAGAGATCCCGGTTTCTGAAATATACAAGATACACCAGCTTGATGCAATGAAATTGGCTCAAGAAGCTTGGTTTTGTGTTAGTGAAGGCACCATATCAAACTGCTTCCGCAAGACTGGGATCATCTCACCTCGCAAACCTGATGGATTGATAATTGATGACCCAACTGTCTTAACATCAGACTCGGACACTAACCTCCCAATAGTCCCAGATTCCAAAGCTGAGGCTGTGTTGGCCGAAGATCTCAAACAACTTGAACAGCTCAAACTTGTCCATCAACGGAACGTGATGTCAATTGCCAAGCTTCTCAATCCCCTTGGAGAGCATTCTAGTGGATTGGAGGAATGGAATGTCGACGAAATATTTGAATCGATCAATAATCGAGATACTGACAAGGATCAAGATACTGAAATAGACATTTTCAAAGTCTCCACTCCTTGACCAAGCTATACAGCCTTTGCATCTTCCCTTTCTGTTGTTTCCGAGTACATCAAGCATGAAGACACACCCGAAGCTAAGTCTTTTGAAGCTGCTATTCGCACTGCTGGCAGACACTTTTGCTTAATTCACACGTGATCTTTAAAACAACCGTCATTATCTGACTACTTTATTAAACATTAACTACAGAACTCTTATACATAACTATTGTTATTGCGCACAAGAATGAAGAAATGATTTTTTTTTTTGATTTGCTCGTTCCTTGTTTTTATCTCCCTCTTGACCCATACTTTGCCCGCCAAACCTTAATCTATGGGTGATGAGGGAGATCCTCCAAAACCATACGTCCATAAAACCCATAGTTTTGGGCTTCCATGAAACGGTATGGGTTTCGAGGGAGTCAACTGTAATATTTACTTGGCTGTTGGGGTACAAGCCCTGTTACTCTCTTTGAGTTGGATGTGGATGTGATTGAATGACTGTATTTCTATTTTCATTTTGAAGTAATGAATTATAGGGATTATGGATCCTGATGGGTCTTGTGAGTATTCAGACCCCTGTGCAGGGTGTTATATTACACAGAGCACAGTCTCATTGAAGAAGGTCCCTGTTCTGTGGCCTTGTGAGGTAGATAGCCTCCTGCTGAGCTGCATTCCATGTTCTGCTGCACACAGTGCAGTACAATGGCCCACTTTTGAAGAATGCTTGCTTGGTCAATTATATGATCAGAAGTTGATAATTCTGCTGTCTTTGAAAACTCTACTATCAGGTGCTTCTTAGCAATTATTCCAATGTGGACTGTCCAAGAAAAACAAATCAACTTCCACAGCACCATCAGGAATTGATAATAATTGAACAGGATTGGACACACCACCCATGATGGAGGCAGAAATTTACCAAAGGTGTTTACTTGGCAGGGTCTAGACTGTCACCTGGATTGGTTTCCAGTTGCAAACATTTTTGTTGATCTGATAGAAAAACACAAACTCATAATTGATCACTTTATGTGACTTCAACTATTACTAAAGATCATCCCAACTCTTGCCTTGGCTTTAGATAATCCAGACAAACATGCTTAAGAATCAAATTATACAAACCTTAAAATTGCTAGAAATAATACAAATTTAGTCAACAGTAAAAAATTTAGGATTACTGGTAAATGTACAATTATACTTAAAATTAACTTCAAAATTGCTACATACAGATTGCAAAACATGGATGGAGGTTGGTTTTGAGGTGGTTTGATGCTTGAATCTGATGAATCACTACATGGGTCCATTGAGCTGATAATCTAATTCCTGATGATCAAGACAACAAATCAGTATGAATTTTTCAAAACCTATACTCTTCAGTTATTTGCCTGGTAAGAATAAAATTGATACAAACCATGCATTCATCTGGGGTTAATTCATGGCTAAAATGACATTGGACCCCATGAGATTTGAAGGCTTTGACTAATTCAGGATCGATTTCTTGAGATTTAGAGTGTTCAGATTTAGTAAAGACAATGTGTTTGAAATTTGGTGCTCCTTTCAAAGCATCCACACCCGCCAATTCTAATGCTACAATCCAGTATTCTTCACTACAATCTAAGTCGGTCACAATCGTTCTTACATTCTTCAAGATTGGATCTTGTAACCAATAGATTTCTGTTTCAACTTCTTCAGGAGGATAGTGAGTTCTGATGACCCGTAAGTTTGGAAAATCCCACTCTGTGACATGTTCAATAATTTGATCCGCAGATGTGCTTGTAAAGAGTCCTTCTAATGTATCTTTGATAGGTTCAAATACCCTTTCTACACCTTCAGTTGGCTCGCTACCACTCAAAAGCTCGATGATTTTCAAAGTTGTTTTTGAAGTTTGAATAATGTGACAGATTCCTTCTAAGCAAACCCACTCTAACATAAAAGAATAGTGGCGTAGATTCTGCAGAGCTGGAGGTTCTAGACTCATGGGCTCTACACAATTGATACCAAAATATAACGATTCAATTCGAGGTAGTGCTGATAATAATCTTGATATTGAGTCCACATCGATAGGCCCGGTATCCACATTGATAGGCTCGTTATCCACATCTATGCAGTCAAATAAGATGGATATTGACTTCAACTCTCTGATAGTTTTACAGGCTTCGACCAATTCGTGAGAAACACCCATTGAACAAAAAAAGGTAATGTTCAATGTCTTCAAGTTGATACCGAGCAGTTCAATTAATCTTGCTACCTGATTCACCGTAACCAGATTTGCTCTTTCTGCAGCTGAACAAGAAAAGGTACAATCTGAGTTAGTACTTCTGAAGCCTTATCTTGGCTGACCAAATCAGAAACCAAAACTACCATCTTCTTTCCATTTCTTACAATCCACTTCTTCTTCTTCTTGTACTACTTCTTTTGGAAGCGAGAGTCTTCCAATTGTGAGTCTCTTAACTGGACAATGAAAATTTGATCCAAAGAAACCATCGTTCCAATTATCCAGAATCAGGTTTGCATATTTTGAATTATCTATAGAGATTGTCTCGAAATAAAATGGAATGACTGCATTAGACCACATTTTGGAAACCAATCTCAACTTGATTAATTCGGTGTAAGATGATCTTCTGAGGTAAGGTTCTCTAGCCGCTGACTCGTAGTGATCTAAGTTTTTTTCTGATTGATTTACAAATTCTCGTAAGATTTGAACGATAATTTCGAACGGTAACCGACCGATCGCAATCATCGTGGTTTTTGAGCCTTAAGCCTTCTCGTTGAATACTTTCTAGAATGAATAAGTCGGTTTTCCTTATGAAGCGTTGCAAAGATTCTTCAAGATGAGATAGATTCGTTTGATTAAATGTGGCTCAGTCTAGAGTCTTGAAGTCACATAATGTTTTGGTTTGGTTTTTGTTCGAAAGCGATTGCTCGGTATCTTCTGTAGTTTGAGTCTTGATTCTTGCCAAGCTGATCAGCCTTACACATACATAACGTATATGCCAGGCTTTACGTACTGACATGTTCTCATTTGTATATTTAGTGGGTTCACGCTCTTTGTGATGTCTTGTTCTTTTCGCGGTTTTTTTGGTTTCTTTCGACCGCATCAATATCGAAAATCATGGCAAAATTTCCACTTCACCAATCACACTTTGAAAGCCACCCGAGAAAAAACAAAAGAAACACGCTGTAGGACCAAAACGTACTTTGTTGTAGGCTTCGAAGGTGGTTCAAGCTAGCGTAAAAGTCAACACTCGCGTTTGATTGACTTTTACGCGCTGCACATTCTCGGGAACTTATCTGAACTTATGCGCCGCAAAATGTGGAAAACGGAGGCCGCAGAACCTTGTTGAATCCGAGTAACCCAACATTTTCAATGAAAGCGCAGATTGCTACCTTTCTCGTCACCCCACCACTAGGGCAGTCAAGGGTCCTTATGAAAGAAGACAATCACCATGTTTTACTGGATAGCGGAGGATTGTATTTGATGACTCAACCCCCGTTTCGTAGTCCCATTCTCGCTGTAAATTCTTTTTCCTTCGGCGCATACCCAAATCCAATGATGTTCTTCATTTTTGATATAGCCTCGATTTGAAGAGATTTGGCCATAAAAGTCCTTCCTTCTTGGCCGAAATCAGGTCCCACATCTGCTTTGTCAGTTCCTTCATTCGTTCATATTTTATTGTTGAATCCTAGACGAAGAATTATTATCAGGATCATATCATAATCATCGAGATCGACTCTTTTGTAAGCGTCATCCTTACCTGAACTGCACGTTCTTTTCATTCGGAAAGCTTATCATTATCATAAAGAGCTCCAACTCTCTCGTCATTCGTTTAAAACCTCAATCATTACTGGTTCATTTGTGATTCTTATTATTATGGATGCTCTGATCGCTATAACAAATTTATATCTAAACCAATCTGATCACGTCTCTCTAACATCAAATTCAAACCAAGATCAATGCCAATCAACTTCTAATGATCATTCTACTTCTTCTTCCGCTTCAAACAAAACGGTGATAGGACAGTCAGAAGTAATAATCAAGATAGAGAAAGATCGAAGTCAGCTTAAATCGCATGAAACTGTAGTTGCGAATAAAACAATTCTAAATAGTTATAAATCACATGGTTTAGATTTTTTAGTCTGGTTCACACCTTATCGTCAACTTTTGATTTTTATTGTGACTGTGAATGCCTCAATAGTACTTTCAATCCTATGTGGTCCACTTGGTGGTACAAGTAGGGATTTTTCTTTGGAGGTTACCCTTAATATCTTTGTTGCTATTGCAATTCGAAACGAATGGGTGATTAGATTCATTTATTGGGTTTCTATTAAATTATTTAGCAGTTCAAGGGTCCCGATTATAGTTAGAAAACATATCGTTGGGCTTTTATATCATATTGGTTAGTTCAGTGTTCCTTGAATATCTTCTCCAGTTTGCTGATCTATATATTTGTCTATCATTGATGGTTTCACTGTTTTCTAGGTGGACTTCATAGTGGTTGCGGTATATCTTCTTTGTTTTGGTTAGCATTATCAGCATATAGACACTTAAAAAATCCTAATCAGTTCCATCCATTTGTTTTGACTCTTTTGTCAATATCTATCGGTTGTATCTTAATTACTTGTATCACCGCGACTCCTATAATTCGTGGCAAAAGACACAAGTGGGTTTAATTTCTTTCAAATTATCACTCTCAATCGTCTGGATTGTTCTCGCGCTAATAATTTTTTTAGTTTGTTTGAAACTATCCATAGGTTTGTCGGATGGTAAGTTTTCAATTCCTTGCGAAGGGATCAAAAACGACCGCAACACGCTTGTACATTTTTCCGGTTTTGAAACTATCTGTGTTCTGCTATTGTAGGTTAGGAATCATCTGTACTTTACTTTTTGTAATCTTGGGGCATTTGTTATCAAAGACGAATCCAATTCAAAATATGATGGACGTGATACTTGATGTACAATTTTGGTTGATGATTATGATTCTCTTTTGGTGAGTTGAAATGACGAGACTCGATATGTACATCCTTCGTTAATCTGCTTGATAACGAAAATATTGATCGTTTCATCTAAACTTCCGCAGCATACTTTCTTCTTGGGTTACAACTCGACGTGTTGATGTCGAATGTTTTGCGGTAAGAGACTTCTTGTTTGATACTAATTAGTTTCTATGAGAATATATCAAGACTGACTTAACTTCTGGTTTACATTGTTTGCTTCTTCATCTTTTATCAGTCATCTAAGAAAGCTACTGTGATCAAAGTTCCAGGTGGATTGACATCAGGTCTTCACACCCGAATCTCACGTGGCGGTCTGAAAGAATGGCACATCTTTGGATCGATAAGGTTAGCCTTTCCATAACTTGTGATTCTTAGGCTTCTGGGGCAAAAATTGAAAGATTCCTGAGCCGCTGACTGCTCCTTTTCATTGATGATCCTAGTGAAGGCAAGCATTCAAATTGTCATTACATTGTAGCAGCTGTTCAGGGTGATTTCACTGGGAATCTGAACTCAGATCAACCTACCAGACTTTACACAAAACTATACAAGGTTAGCTCAACAAGAAACCCATCCTCAACCTCCATCTCACCCATCATCCCACCACTAATCGAGCATTACGTTTCATTTTCTAAAATCATTCAAAGCCTGCTGGATTACCATACTTTTCTAGAATGTTTAAAAGAGGAGTAGCCATTTGTACAGGATCAGGTATTGGAGCAGTAGCTTCAACTTGTATCCAACATTCAGATTGGTTTTTGATTTGGATTGGACCTGATCTACAAAACACTTATGGATCTGAATTGATGAATCTAATAGAAGATAAGATTCCCAAAGACAGAAGATTAATTTGGGATACTCGTGGTCCTTTAGGTAGACCTGACGTCTTTTTGCTTTTATCTAACACTTATAAAGATTGGAACGCCGAAGGTAAATGCATTCGACTTCTTCTCCTAAAGCCTTGCGTTCCTCATCTCCTTTCTGCGTGTTTTTTTGCGCAGTGGTGCTCTTTATTGGTAGTCCTGCTTTGAACAAGAGTATACTTAGATCATCAAGAGAACACAAAATTCCGTTATTCGTAAGTATTCTCATGGATAATCTTCTCATTGATCTACAGTCACTGATTACTTTCTTGGATTTTATTTATTATAGGGATCTATTTGGGATGCATGAATATGCCTTCAACAGAAATCTACATACGTATCAGAGCGTATAAAATTGGGTTCATCCTACTTATATATTAATGAGCGGACAATTCTTCAACTATAGAGAATCTATATCTTCAAAGAGAAGATTTGGGTTTACTATCATTCAAAATTACATTCTTGCTCTTGGCACTTGATCTGGGGGGTTTGTTTTTTTGTTTTTTTATCTATTTATATATTCCTAATTTTCTGTCGTCTGTTTTGCGGTTTTCCTCCATGTAATAGGACACTTCAACCCTACAACCAAAAACTCGACTTTTGTAGTCTTTGTATTACTTTTCAATGTGGAGTGCATATTTACTCCCATAGGATTGACTCTCCCTTTTGTAATTCTTCTTGGTGTCTGTTAGTATTTCTTGTATGAATTGATCGTCTTGGATAGAGATGGATATATTATCCTTCTTGTGCTTTTGCTTCAACTTGTCAATGCGCTCTGGTGTGATCAAAGATGAGGATGATCCCTACCATATTTAGGTATAAAGACCAATCATGAACAGCACTGAAAACCGTAAGACAAAAGTTGGAAAAAAAATGAGAGGGCCTATGTATGATCATGTATTGGATTTGATATCTTCAGCTTGCTCAAAATGTGACGCTCGAGATCGGGCGATTCCACGCAGTGATCGGGAAGCGATATCTCCTTGTTCGAGTTAAACATATCCGGTCTTTGGGATGTGGTGTTCTTCTGTTTGTTTTGGTATCTGTTGACCGCATCAAGATTGAGGATCAAGCGTAAAATGCTAACTTGACCAATCCCACTTTAGAAGCCAGCCAAGAAAAACAAAAGAAACGCGCTGTACATTCTCGAAAATTTATGCGCCGCAAAACGTCGGAGGTCGTAAATCCAAGCACCCCATATATTCTTGAAGAATTGAGACGCCCTTGCGCCTTGTTTAGATTTCTAGCGGTGTTCTAGCTTATCAATAATGATGTATCAATACGAATACGAAGTACTATCGCCTGCATGGACTGTGCGGTGTTTTTTGAGTGCCTTTTTTCTTTTTCCAGCTGTTTCAAAATGATTGTTGCTCCTGTTGTTTTCGGTTATATTTTGCATATCCGTGGTCAAATGGTCTTTTGTCCTTCCGGGTTATCTATCCCGATTGGGATCAGACATAGAGCTCATGCAGGCTCAAGCCCGCTCAAGCGTTGGCATCAAGGGTCGAAGCAGGCTTCAGGTAAGCAATGCGATTCAAACCCAGGCCGCGTCAGAAGCCATTTCCACGCTTTTCCCACCAACTTGAAAACTAACGATATGAAAGCTGAAAATTCGGAAATAACAGCAGGAACACTTCCCTCTTTCCATGAGCGTTTCCTCCAGTCGTGTTTTTTTCATGCAAATCTCTTCCTAGCCCTTATGGCCCAAACGCATAGAGAGAAGAAGACAAAGATCACATGACACGGACAACTAATCCCCCAAAAAACTAAAGACATCCACTTTCCATTATCAATCTATTTCGTTCAGGGTAAGGTGTTCGCATCATATGGGAACTTCGTCTGTTCAATTGATTGATACGACTCTTCGCTCTGATAACATCCGATCACCACTCAACTCGGACAAAAGGCATGAAGCTCTTGACACGACATTGCTTGGTATGAATACAAGAACGCGGTCATCATCGTACGAAAATCCGAAGCTCTCTTCACACCTCTCAAAACCTTGGACCTTGTCCTCAAAGATGCTTTCTCTAGAAATTCAAACATGTTTAAATCCAAGTCAAGCTGATCACATGTATACTACTCCTACGAGGAAAGACGATTCGCAAAATCAAGTTGTAAGGAGACCTTCACAAGAATTCAACTTTGATTCGACATTAAACATTCCTCAAAGTTCGTGTTCGACGGTGTTCAAATATGGGACTGGATCTAACTCTGATCTAGCATCAAAATCAAGTCAAGATCAATTAACTTCAAACTGGAATCTTCAACCTACTTCCTTGTCTTTTGATTCATTTCAAGCTGTTGCAGAAAAATCACAAGTTGTTAAAGTAGAGAAAGATCAAAATACGACCCAATCAGACGGAACCGCAGTTGTGAAGAAAACATTTTTAACTAACTTGAAGTCTCATTGGTTGGATTTCTCAACTTGGTTTACACCTTACCGACACCTTTTCTTCAAGATTGTGACGGTTAATGCTGTGATAATACTTTCAATTATATTTGATTCAAATGGTGGTGCAAATAGAGATCTCTCTTTGGGGGTGACAATCAACATATTTGTTGCTATCGCAATTCGAAATGAATGGGTGCTGAGATTTATTTATTGGATTTTCATCAAAACTTTCAGTAGTCCAAGGATTTCGATCAAGATTAGAAAACATATCGTTGGAGTTTTATATCATATTGGTCAGTTATAATCTTTTCTTCAGTTTGATGATCCTGATGACTGATGGTTTTGGTTTTTTCCCTAGGCGGGCTTCATAGTGGTTGTGGTACATCTTCTTTGCTTTGGTTAACAGTATCAGCATATAGACATTTCAGAAACCCAAATCAATTTCATCCAATTGTGTTGACTCTTTTATCAATCTCAATCGGGTGTATCTTGATCACTTGTATCACCGCTACCCCTATATTTCGTGGTAAAAGGCATAAGTAAGTGAATACGTCTACAAACATTACTTTCGACTATCTTGCCTCCATTTCTCCTATGCTGATATGATTGGTGTTTTGTAGTCTTTTCGAAGTGATTCATCGGTTCATTGGATGGCAAGTCTTGAATTTTTCAAAAAGACGAAGGACCGTACCAAGTTTTCGAAATTGTCTGAAGTTTTCGAAATCCTCCGTTTTACAAACGTTTCCCATGCCGCTTCTTTAGGCTAGGAATCGTTTGTACTTTACTTTTCGTAACCTTGGGACATTTATTATCAAAGACAAAATCAACTCGAGATGTGATGCCTCTTGTACTTGATGTCCAATTTTGGTTGATGATCATGATTATCTTCTTGTAAGTTGAAATGATAAACTTGAATAAGATACCCTTTAACTCTAACTCACTCAATACATCGTTTCTAACCATCTAAATTTTTGTAGTATCATTTCTTCGTGGATTACAATTCGACTTGTTAATGTCGAATGTTTTGTAGTGAGTGATATTCTCGTCTGAAGTTTATATATTTGAGTTCAGTAAGACTCATGTAAATGCTCGTCTCAATTATATTGGTTGTCTCCTTCATATTACACCAGTCCTCCAAGAAAGCTACGGTGATCAAAGTTCCAGGTGGGTTGACTTCAGGTCTTCATACCAGAATCTCACGTGGTGGTTTAAAAGAATGGCACATCTTTGGATCAATAAGGTCAGTCCCTCTATACTTTTTTCTCTGAGAGTTTCTGCAGAAAAAACAATGTAGATAATACCGACCCGCTGACTGCTTCTTTCCTTTGATCATCTCAGTGAAGGAAGACGTTCAAATTGTCATTATATTGTAGCAGCCGTTCAAGGTCAATTCACCGGGAGTTTGAACTTAGATCAACCTACCAGACTGTACACTAAACTATGGAAGGTAAGTGTGACAAGAAAACTCCAAAACCAATCCAATCCAATTATCCTTATCCAATCACTGATCAAGCGTTGTGTTATGATCCAAGCCTGCTGGATTACCATACTTTTCTAGAATGTTTAATAGAGGAGTAGCAATCTGTACAGGATCAGGTATTGGAGCAGTAGCTTCAACTTGTATCCAACATTCAGATTGGTTTTTGATTTGGATTGGACCTGATCTACAAAACACTTATGGATCTGAATTAATGAATCTAATTGAAGATAAGATTCCAAAAGACAGAAGATTGATTTGGGATACTCGTGGTCCTTTAGGTAGACCTGATGTATTTTCACTTTTATCTCAAGCTTATAAAGATTGGAATGCTGAGGGTAATTTCCTACATCGCTTGTTGAAAAAGCTACCCAATTGGGTGGTTTCTTAAGCTGTTCTACTGATTTCTTTTATTTGTAATTTCTATACGCAGTGGTGCTTTTTATTGGTAGTCCTGCTTTGAATAAAAGCGTACTTAGATCCTCAAGAGAACATAACATTCCCTTATTTGTGAGTCATCAAACTCTGAATTACCTTGATACTTTTGCTCAAGAAATGCTCTCATCGTTGATCATCAACCACTTGTTTTGGATTCTCCTCATTATAGGGATCCATCTGGGATGCATGAACATTATCACACTCATTTATACTTCGATATTTCACTATTTTAGTCTACATACTTGATTTTTGGCATTTGGGGTTCCCTATTTTTCTCCTTTTTCTGCCTTTTGTTTCACGGTCAGGTTATCTGTAGGACTCTTTATTATCCTCAGATACCTCAATTTCGAACATTTTTTGTTTTCTTTCAGACTGTTGTACTTCATAGGCATATGGGCCGCAAGCTTCTGTTATAATTCTTGGACTCTTATTTGTACAATTTTTTATAAGTCTGTTGAGCATTTTGTGAAAGTACCTTCCGTAGAAAGACTTCACTAATTCTTTGGTCTCAATTTTCATGGGGCTTGGAGAGAAGTGAACTATATTCTCAAGCCTCATCATAACGTAGCGCGCCCATTTGAGCATGATTGTTTTTTAGAAAACATCACACTTTGGAATTTACAAACGCATTCACAGTATTGCAATTGGTTGACGGGGTAGCAGAGCCAAATATGTATCGAGTAGTAACAATTTTATGTGTCGGTCATAAGCACTTAAACAGGGTGATCAATGTATCTGGCTCAACTGTCAATGGGCTAATCTGATGAGATGTCAACTAGTTTAAAGGGGCAAAGGTAAATAATCTAAAAATCTGAATTCTTCAATTTCATTTTATTTGCAGTGTAGAGTAGAGTAGTATTGACGGGGGAATGTACTCAAAATTACTCATCCTTCATCTCAGCTGCTAATTTATCAGCCTTGGCCTTAACATCATCAATGGCTCCTACCATGTAGAAGGCAGCCTCAGGAAGGTGATCATGGTGACCAGCAAGGATACCCTTGAAGGACTCAATGGTATCTTTGAGAGGAACTAGTCGTCCTTCGAGACCAGTGAAAACCTCAGCGACGGCGAAAGGTTGGGACATCTGTTTGGTGGAGAGCCTTTCTCAGCGTGTCATGTGGTTAGAGACAGATGGAAAAATGGTGAACGTACGAATCGTTGAACTTTTCGGGCTCGCTCGACTGTCAATTTGTCATCTTCTGACAATTCATCCATACCCAAAACTATTGTGACGATAAAAGACCAATCAGTCACCTTACAGTCAGTGGTGGGCAAGGCGATAGAGACATACTGGCAATGATATCCTGGAGACCCTTGTAATCTTGTAAGAGCTTCTGGATAGCGGTGGCCAAGTTGTAATGTTCCTCTCCGACCTTGATAAGTAAGAATAGATCAGCATGAATGTTCAAAGGCGGAGTTCAAGGCATTTGACATACAATACGGGGGTCAAGTAGACGCGACTTGGAGTCGAGGGGATCGACAGCTGGGTAAATACCAAGTTCAGAAATACCTCGGGACAATACAGTGGTGGCGTCCAAGTGTGCGAAGGTAGTTGCGGGGGCAGGATCAGTCAAATCATCGGCAGGCACGTAAACGGCCTGGACGGATGTGATGGAACCCTTTCGGGTGGTGGTGATACTGTAGGCCAAGACAGATTAGGCGATGTCAGTCGAGATAAAAGAAGGAATTCACTTACCGTTCCTGCATACCACCCATATCGGTACTGAGAGTAGGTTGGTAACCGACAGCAGATGGGATACGACCCAACAAGGCAGATACCTCGGAACCAGCTTGGGTGAATCGGAAAATGTTGTCAATGAACAAAAGCACATCTTGTCCCTCTTCGTCACGCTGATTGAACAAGAGATGAAAGTAAAAAAATCAGTCTCCACAAAATGTCCCCTCGAACAAGATCGAAGACGTACGAAATATTCTGCAAGTGTCAAACCAGTCAAAGCAACACGGGCACGGGCTCCTGGGGGCTCGTTCATTTGTCCGAAAACGAGGGCAGCCTTACTCTTGTCGTTCTTGAGCTGGATGACACTGTATATGGAAGGCAAGACAGCATGGTCAGCGGTGTTCAACAAAGTATAGAGTAAGCAGTGACAACATACCCAGTTTCAATCATTTCGTGGTAAAGATCGTTACCTTCACGAGTACGTTCACCGACACCACAGAAAACGGAGTAACCACCATGAGCCTTGGCAACGTTGTTGATCAACTCTTGAATGAACACAGTCTTTCCGACACCAGCACCACCAAGAAGACCAATCTTTCCACCACGAGCGTATGGTGCAAGTAAATCTACGACTTTGATACCGGTAACAAGCACTTCAGGAATTGTCGATTGATCAATGAATGATGGAGGCTCGGCGTGAATAGGCATCTGTGTCTTGGTGTTGATCGGTCCACGCTCATCAATCGGTTCACCGATAACGTTCATGATACGTCCCAGACACTCAGGCCCGACTGGAATCTGAATGGGAGCGCCAGTGTCAATAACTTTTTGACCACGGACGAGACCTTCGGTACCTGTGATCGATGGATGATGGAGGTGTGTCAATCAAAAGATCGTCATGTTTACTCCCCTGAAGGAACTTACCATCCATAGCAATTGTTCTGACGGTGTTCTCTCCCAAATGCTGGGCGACTTCAAGAACCAAACGCTGTCCGAAATCTTGAACCTCGAGGGCGTTAAGACTGTATAGTACATGATCGATGAGTTAGTGAGGGCACCACACCCGGCAAACGATTAACACAATCAAAAAGAACTTGACTAACATCGGAGGCAAGTTCTCGCCATCGAAAGAGACATCGACGACGGCACCAATAACAGTCTTGATTTGACCGACTACCAAGTCAAAAAAAGTGTTAGTGCAAGACTTGGACCAAGATTTCAGAGATGGCGACTACTGCAACTTACTTTGACCCTTGGCCTCGGTTGCGTATGATCGAGCTGAGAACGTCAAGGAAGTGAGCAAGAGTCAGTCAGTGATAGTCAGAAAAAGGGTCTGGAGAGAAGTCCTCAGTAGTAAATTGGTGATCGGAAGATCCATGTGATCGCTCATCAAGTTAGTTGGTAACACTTTCCGATCTCGATCACCTCATATTGAAAGATAGAAAGAAGCTTGACTTGAAATGAACACAATCTACTCACTTTGATCGACTTGGGATTGAGCGAACTTGGGGATAGCGCATTTCGAGATGAGTGGGGTGACATTAGGCTTGCTGAGAGTAGCAAGGCTACGAGAAGCGCCTAGAAGGGCGTTGTTGGCTCGTCGAGCTTTGGTGGCAGCCCGAGGGATGGCACGCATAAGACCGGAACCTCGATGCATGATGGGATTGAAGGAAGTGAGAGACAGATGGTGTAGTGGATAATGTTTGGGTGGAATTGAAGTGTGACCACGAAGAAGTGGAAGGGGGAAAGGGAAAGGGAAGGCAAGGAAGAGCTGATGAAGCCTGAAGGAGGAAGTCGTCAGTCAATCAACTTCAATACAGCTCAACCCATCGGATCGAGTCAAATAGGTTTCGATAAGTGGAATCTGTCGGAAAGTCACGTGCTGCTCAATCACCTAGAAAAAACTGCTGGGGTACGGCTAAAACCGTTTACATACATTCACTGTCAATGGCCTGTCACACAAAAACTGACATCGCTATAGTAAATTCCTCAACTCTAAATCCACACGTTTGGTCGCAATCCTCACGTGTGGCTTTTCAGGGAAACGTGGTTCACCTTTTGTAGGGGGCAGCTCTCAGGTGGAGGGTATTGCAATGTATTCATGAATCAAAAGATAGTCTTTATTATTGAACTCGCACACTGCAAGAAAAATTGAATACTAAGATCCTTGATATGATGTTTTCATAAGAAAGATCAAGAAACACAATGACCGATGATAACAGTTTGGAAGAGATATGTACATTTTTAATCCTTGTTTTTTTTATACGAATCTCGTCGCATCTTTTTTGATTCAAATCAAATACCAATAGAAACAAAGAAAATCATCTGCTCCCATATGACTGGCGGACATCATGATTCATTCTTGTTATATTACCTTTGTTATTGACACTCATAGTCAGACCAACATATGATAATTCGTTTAGATCTTCATTGCCTGTTTGAGTTTGAGGACTTGAGATAGAACCATAAGATTCCCTTTGCTTACTAGCTACTTCTCTATGAACAGTTTTAGTATGACGAACAGGATGATGAACTGGGATTTTCATACCGTATGTTTCTCGTTGCAACATGGCCAATTCTGTGTCAGTTTGCTCACTGGGTCTTCGGGGACGAACGGGTATAGGTTGAGCTATCGAGGATCTTGATGCGATAAGATTAGAATCGATTGGATCACAGCGAACAGGGTAATCGAATTGGCCAATCGATTGCCGCATGACCGAATGGTTCTCCAATCCACGTCCACTACGTGAAACAGGTCGTGCGGTCCTTGGACTTTCACTACGGCAAATTGATGATGGCCTAAGATTTCGCGGTTGGTCAGATAAAGGAGGAAATATCTTATCGAAAACCATTCTTCCGCGAGTTTTGGACTTATCATTTTTAGTTGATTCGGGTAAACAAAATCCATAGATATCTTTGCCAACGAATTTAGGGTTTGATGGCTTGGGAGTAAATTGAGCTGGGCGGTTAGAAATTTCTGAATATCCTCGAGATCTAGAAGGTAAGATATTATTGCATCTACCGGTAAAGTTATGAGTTTGTACTTTGGTGTGATTATTGAGCCAGTCGAAAGCTTGTGCCGAAGTGGAAGCCAATGAGCCAGAGATCTTCCGTGTCAAACGTGGGATGCTCTCCAGTGAGATGTTTCCAGGGAGGGAAGCTCTCCTTCGGCGGGTGTTCGAATAGTCGACATTGGTTCTATGGCTGGGGGAGGGCATGGTGGGAAAGTTGTGAAGGGCTTGAAGGTTTTGTGGAGATAAAATGCAGTGGAAGAAGTTGTCAGTGTTTGGATTTAAAGCTTCGTGAAGGTTAATGTGGCAAACGGTGGTGCAGATTCGCTCAAAAGCAGACACCAGAGGTCAATGAATATATAGTAGGCCATCTGCTGAGCTCTTCCCTTTTGCACTGTAGGCATTTTGTTTTACTTGCTCTAGAAAGCAGCCGTTTGGGCCGACGTTGTGACCACTTTTGAAAGCTTAGCTCAACACATCCCTTTGTACCGGTGTCCCTTTGTCTTTAACGAAGTGATGGGTGCTTTTATTCATTTTTGGTCTTCGGAATGTTTATGTGGCTGGCTGTGAGTGAAATGCGCTGATAGAGGCAGTTATGAGTCACTGGCCGCTCCAAATTTAATTGCAGGTACATGTGCTGAAGAAGGCTGAAGAACTGCCATGGGCTCTGTGGAATTTTCTCTTGGCTTACTATGTATGGCGTGGGCGGGTGTGAGCTCATCGAGTTCCTCTTCGAGACCACCGGTGTTCGAGACAGAAAGCTGCACTCTTTCATTCATATGCTCAGATTTACTTCGTGTCCGCCCAACAGCTTTTCCTTTTGCTCACTTGATCAGACCGAGCACTATACGGTGATACGTGATGATCGACCCAAAGGGTTCTCCAAAATGCCTACACTTGATATTCCTTGGACATGCCCATGACCGTGTCCTGTGTTGCAATCCACAAAGGTAGCTCGATACGCTCTTCCTTCCAGCTTCCTCCCGTTTGCTCATTTCCTTTTGCTCAAAAGGCACTTGCGCTATGAAGGGCTTTGGGGAAACCCGTAAACGATAGAAATACTCTTGAGAAATTAGGGCTGTGTGTATACTCAATTCACTCGGTGACTAGCATTGTTATTTAAATAAAGCGCCTTGATGAAGTCTGTGAGTCAGCTTCGGCAAGGCTGAAGGAGGTGGTTCATTCTCTGCTTCCACCATATCGGGTTAAATTAAATCCTTCACTCAACGCACCAACACATTCTATGACTCCAATTCAGCTCATTCGCCCGTGTAGAGAGTTTTGTAAAATATCATCCAGACGGTACAGGATTCGATTAGTCGCTATCAACTTTAACTTGTCTCACAATACCCACCCACTACCCTTCTGAGTTTGATTGTCATTGAAGAGCATGAAACGAGCTCAGCTTGAGAGAGATCAAGTATCACATGTCATAGCTTCACTCCCTTATACCAAAGAGTCTCAAACCATAGGCAGCTCGGTAGATAGTCAGAAGAATAGTTTTCACCTTGTAGCTCGACGTCCTACATTTTCTGAACGCTCCGATAATGAACCTCGACATCCTTTCACTGTAACAGAACGTGATCCTCCGAGGGCCTTATTATTGTCGTCATCTTCATCAAACAACAAAACACATTATCCTTCATCGCACTCCCAATCAAACGACCGTATCTCCCAGTGTCCAGCACCCAATTTCGACAAGCGGAATTATTCACTCACTCAATCGGTTTCTTTTCTTCCTCCAGAGGTCTCATCCTCATTTCCTGACATTCTACAACGTACTCAGGCTTGGGCATCTGCTTCTGCTAATTCTTCTCACTCTTTGAAAAATCCTAAGAAAGTCATCATCAGTTCGACTTCTGTTAAGGCTGTAGCCTTTGAATTCGAACGAAACCATATCCAGAAAGCTCGAGATAGTGTAGAACTCAATCTCAAGCAACACTCCAGGTCATCATCTAGGTCATCATTCAGTAGATGGACGGAGGTGCCCCGTAAATCAATGACTTTATCTAATTCAGACTCTACGACGGACATTTCCTATAGTTCCACTTACTATCCAACCTCGCCTGGTAACAAGTTTTTTGAATCTTCTTCCGCCAACGCCCCCGAGAATCCACCATCAGAAGAGGAGGTGGAAATCATCTCTAGCCCTAATCTTTCACGTGGCTCTCATATTGACATGGACGCACCATCATTTCTACATTTTGACTCGCCTGAATCAGTTTTTGTGAATCAAGGCAGTGAAGACTTGAAACTCTCAATGTCAATCAAGTACCCTATTGCCACCACATCGGACTCTCTAACCACCAGCCCATTATTAGCTGCATCACACGAGAAGCCTAATGACTGTTCATCTCAAAGCCTCCTAATCAACACCTCCAATATCTCGCAGAAGTTGACTGATGACCATGCCTCTCCATGCTCTTCCGAAGATTCTTCTCCGACATTCCATATCCCGGGTCACTTCAGCGCTGATGCAGTGTCTGTGGTTGAAGATGAAGTTGAAGACGACTGGGAGGATGCTGAGGACGACGATGCTCTGGGGGCCAATTCCACACCTGTCAACTACATCAACACCGCCCTACAAACCTATAATTTTGCGGCGCCTGCATCTTCATCTTACATGCCAGATGCTACGAAGCCTATACAAGAACTGATTTGTGTTGAAGTCAAAAGGCGGAGTCTCACCAGCACCCAAAACCGGCACTCGCCCCATATAGCATCTACTCATCGCCCGAAACTACGAAACAGCGTAGTTAGCATGCTGAGCATTGCCAGTCGCAGTAGTGCCGTGAGCCTCGGTGCAACTGACGACGGTGGTGAATTTGAAGACGCGGATGATGAAGCTGAATGGATGGACATTGACGGCGGCGGTGCCTACGAAGGTAAATTGATTTTATCTTTTGCATGCGTGAATCCAGTCTTACAATATAATCCGGCTAGATGGCTAACTTGACGATCTTATCCGCCCCAGATCTAGATAAGGCCCAGGAAATCACTCGAGAGGTTAGCCGACAATTGATCATTGATACAGCGCAGGCTTTACAAAAGGCCACAGAAGCTCGCCACAGGTACTCAGCTCTAACAGAAGCGCATCACGCCAATGATGTAATCTACACGCCTATGGCTGGTCCGCTGAGCAAAAGAACATCAACTCAGGTTCCAAAGGACTTTTTCAGTAGGTATGATGGTGTACCCCGGTCAAATAGCATCACTTCCTCTTCCGCGGTATCCAGTAGGGGATCGCGTCTCAGTGATCGATGTGATTGTGAAGTACATGATCGGTGCGGGTGTAGCAGTCCATCTTCTCAACCAAGAGACTCTGTGAGCAGTCGAGGAAGTCGAAGCAGTAGAGTGATGCTCTTTACTAGAAACTCGAAACCTACTTGGGTTGCTAGATCAGAAGAAGCAGGCGAATTGGGTCCGATTGTCGAGGTAGAGAATGGATCAGATGAACACACCCGAGTCTTATCGGAATCTCCCTCTACGCTAGAAAGCTCTCCTTCACAAGGTTCTGTAGACCCGTTGACTGGTCAACCTCGTTGGCGGCCTAGACCTTTGTTTCTTAAGCCTGCTAGAGTTAAAACGCCACCTGGCCCTGCAAAGCGATCAATCCATGAAAGTCCATCTGGTTCATCTTCCGATAACGATCCCACCAATGGAAGACAATTTTCAAGACAGCATCGACAGCTGTCAAAGAGTCCCTCATTCTATTCAGCCAAAGAATCTACTATCCATGGATCTGCTCCTTCTCCCCGACCTACTTCATCCGAATCTTCAGCTACTTCTATCAGCCGTGAGACGGCAATGACCCAATCTGAAGTTCTATGGCCATTCCCTCCCTCCACTAGCTCTAGCTCACCTGCTGGTTCTTCCCATTTAAATGTCCGTATTGCTCAGTCACCTCAAGATACCACAACCCGTGTCTCGCCCGAAGGGAAGATGTATCTGTCTGTCAATCAACATGTACGGCCGGTGAGTACCAGACTTATTTTCCTTTAGATTCGAAAGAAACCATTCACCAAACTGACTCTTTGTGGTCATAACAGCATACAGCCAATGTCACATCGTCCAACCCACCCAGACCATTTGGAACAACTCCACCAGTCACACTAAGACGTCTTCAATCACTTTCCAGTGACCGATTACCTTTGGTAAATTTAAAAGATCGAAAACCAATCAAGTACAGTACCCGGAGTAATTCCAGAGCTGGTCATCAATCCAACAGAAGCAAATCAACACGCATACAACAGAAAAATAAACTTGACCTGTCTGTTTTACCAGAGATTGTGGATTCTGGAGCACCGGTTACCCGTGCTCGTTCAAACACGCTCTTCGATGCGTCTTCCGTAGCTACTGGCCTTCTATCTCGCTCTGGATCTACAGAGCTACATTTTGGGCTATCAAATGAGACTGATGAAAAGGGTACTCGTGTCAAGTCTCGAAAGAACATCTTACGACCTGATAATTCTTCTGGATGGACAGTTTGCGATCCAGAATCTTTGTCAGAAGAAGTTTTGGATCCTTTTGCACGCGTACCCGGGGTTCTTGTGCGACCTCATACAGCTAACTCGATCCGTCGTACTCAGACAACGAGTTCAACATCTTCCCAACATACTCACAGAGGAAAGCGACGCTCGCTTACTGGGGCTGACTCGAACAATGCATCACAATCAGATAGATTGGAAAGGCTTTCATTGAAGAAAATCTCAGCCTCCGCAACTAATTTACGAGAATATCCCTCAGACGGTTACAGACCCGATTCTTCTTTGACTGACGAGGTTGGCCAAGGCTCCGAAAGTGGTTCCGAAGACTTATCAAGACCTGCTTTCCCTACTCGACCAGTCCGACCCCTTCGAATGGACGAGGATCCTTCGGCGGCACAAGATGGATCATTGGACAAGCCAAACATCTCTCCTCGTGAACGTAGTCAAACCTTCGGTCGGCATCCACGTAACAACCCATCGCATAAACCTCCGGTGATGGTATTACAACACGGAGAACATGTTGAACTTCCCCTTCCGACCGGCGTGAGTATGAGTAGATCAGGAGTAGATGGGTCAGACCGTATGAAACATCATTTTAATCTCCACAGAGGTGTTCCGGTCTCTCCGATCTCTCCTCCAACCCCCGAACCTGGACGAGATGAGGGACCGATGAAGAACCCAGTCTCTAGACCTTCATCTGGGGGACTTCAACCTGGATTGCCTCATAGCCCTCGAGAGATCTCGTACAACCTCAAGGATTCTAGCCCATCTCAGTTGTCATTGTGGCCCTCGTGGTCCGGTGGACCTAAAAGCCCACAAACGGAACCAAGTCCAAGTCCAACACTCTCCACCTCCACCTCTACATACACCTTTCACTCATCTTCTCGGGCTCGCCTCTACTCTCACGGGAACTCGACAGTGATGGAAAGTGCTTATGAGTCAGATGACCTCCCTCAATTATCTTCATCAACCCAACTTAACAAGGAACCAGAGTGGGAGAAGGGTGACCACCGTTCGGCGGGACACAATGATGCTTACCCATCAGTCGAACAAGCTAACGGGATGAAGTTATTCTACTCTGACAATAAACAACCTTCGGTGATCAATTTTAAGCGAGATTCCGCTTTGGACAAGATGAAATTACTAGATGTACAACGAGATCCAGTCACCGAAGTAGAAGATCGTCGACCTGCTTCTTTCATCATTGGAGGTAGAACCAAGTTAATCTCGGGGCCTATCAGACTTGATCAAGCAACTCAAACTGAACTTTTATGGAAGATGATCAATGGAACAGTATCTTCGGATGGGAGATTATCATTCGGTCAGAAGAAGAAGAAGAGGGGATTGAAGTTCAGACTTTGAAGGTAGTCATCTGGGGAGAGAAAAGGAAAGATAGTTGCAAAGTGATTTTGAAGGAGTTGATTTTGTTTTCTTAGCTCGATTTGTTCGTTTCAGGATTGTAGTCATTTATGTATTTTGTTCTCTATCCTCTTACCTACTTCTTTTTGCTGATCTGTGAGTAATATTCTTTTTTCTGCGCGCATGTTTGAAGACTTTGATTTGAGCTAACATGATTCTTTTTTTGAAACGACAGGTGGACCAGGAGATGGATAATTTATCCAACCTTTTTTTATTAATTCATTACATCTGTTTTCATAAATCTTTCAATTTATTGTTTTATCGGGTAACTTGCCTTCATCTATATTGACATTAAGAATCATCGACCGATAATAAAAAAATCCCTTTTTTCCCTCTCTCAAAGAAGCAACAAAACCAAATAGAAACTATTAGTTTTATTCTTCTTTTGCTTCATTCATATAATTTATTCTTATTTTTGATTTTCTTCGTCACTCCTTTATATGTTTTCTTTTTGCTGAAAATTTGTTTATGAAAGAGGTCATTTATCAGTAGAAGAGTTGCTCAAATGTCTTTCTTCTTTGTCTGTTTTGGCTTTTGTCTTTTTGATTTGTATGTGTGCGCGGACTTGATGATCTGATTGAAGTGTTCGAACAGACTACCTGTAACGGCTAATTGGCTAAACAATAAATACTGACTCAATCCATCCTCGAAAAATCTTCATTGTTGAGGTTCCCTGAGGAGAATAGTAACACTTCGCCTTGGCCGCGTGTGCTGAGTTGGGTAGGCCATGGTTTGTGCTCAAACCATCAAACTTTGTGTATCTTAGAGCATCCACAGCCGTGTGGCGTAAACCGTGTCGTACGGAAATTTAGGGCAAAAACATCCACAGCCAATGCCCTAAATTGTCACGTAGCTAAGGGCATTTCCACCGTGCGAGCCAAAATAGAAGAAATTTGTTCTATTTCGGCTTGCTCCCTAAATTCATCCGTACCTCGCTTTTCCCATAAAACTCCCACTTCCTCGCCGACACTCCCTGCAGTCATCCCCCTTGATGATCAATAGCCCATAACTCACCTTGCCAAATATGCTTCAAGCCGTACTGTACGGAACCACGGCTGTGCATCAGTTGAAAATCATGCCTCAAACACTTCCCTAAATGATCCGTGCAACCCTCCGTACGATATCGATTTACGGCACGGCTGTGGATGCTCTTACTGCCTTGCTGAGCTGAGAGGGAAATATCAAACTTAACAAAGTCCCTTGTTTTTGAGCTGTACTGGCCAGCTCAAACGAGGGACTTACGCGTAAAGTCAAAATTTTGGCGTGAGATCGGCCGGGGCTTTTTGTCAAAATCTAGTTGTCTTATAAAACTTTTTTTTGCAATTATAAGTTTCCTGAGCCCAAAAATGAAAAATGTGAGCCTCACTCTTGGCTACAACCTCACGGTTGTAGTATCCCAATAACATGAGTTGTGCTGAAAATAAATGAGAAACTTGGTGTTTCAATTACGCCCAAATTTCAACTTTTAGACGCGGAGCAGCCCAAATTACTTGATTTTTGACTTTGGTCACTGAAAGAAGTTCATGCATATCTACAGAGCCACTCATCATATTTAGAAGCGGAGAGTACGAGGCTATAGAGACACCCAGGGTGCACATCTTTCAATTTTGGGCCAGGCAAATTTATAATTGTAAAAAAATGTTTCATAAGAAGACTAGATTTTGGGCAAAAGCCCCGGCCGATCTCACGCCAAAATTTCGACTTTACGCGTAAGTCCCTCGTTTGAGCTGGCCAGTACAGCTTAAAAACAAGGGACTTTGTTAAGTTTGGGGAAATATATGCTCAATAAATTATACTGTTATTTTTAATGGTAACATTTACGGTACTCAAAGCTGTGCATAGTTTTGTGTGTATAGTTTTTTTGGCCCGAATATACTTTTTTTCACAACTATACACGACCTGGGCAAAGTATATTTTTGTTGACATTTTAGCCACCAGCATCTGATCAACAAACACAGATATACATATGGGGTCCTCAAACAAACTTAACAAAGTCCCTTGCCAAAGGCCCGAGCCCCAGCAAAGGACCTACCGCATAAACTGGAATCCTTGCGTGAGAAGTGAGCTGTATTGGCTCCAAGTTCTCTACATCTGTTTGTTTTTTTTGTCTCTCAATAAACATGTCTTGCAACAAAGAAAGAAGAAAATGGCAGGGGACCATTACATATGTACCAATTGCAACCTCCTTTCTATCTTGCTGGGAAGTTATCTTTTTGAGTAGTTGAAGATCAATTGTTTTGACCGCTTTCTGAGAAATACAGGCTTTGAGTCAGCTCGCCGCTGCTGAAAAATGAAAACAGACCCATTTTTGATTCCCCAGTAGCCCAAGTTCCAGACCAGATTTGGGGGAGCTTGCAATTGGCTCATATGTAATGAATATTTGCCACCATCCTTTTATTTAGAAACAAATTGAAGAATTCAAAGTAGTGTTTTTTGTGCCAATACAGGCTATTTCTCACGCCAGGATTCCGTTTTATGCGGTAAGTCCCTTGCTGGAGCGCGGACCTTTGGCGAGGGGCTTTGTTAAGTTTGGTCCTCACTTTTTTTTTGCGGGGAAAAAAAAGTATATTTGGGCAAAAGAACTATACACACAAAACTATACACAGCCTTAAGTACCTTAATTGTTTAAATTGGGTGCAATAAGTGTGGGATGTGAGTTGGGCAATCAGGTTAGGGTTAGGTTTTAAAGGTGTACTGCATCAGGGTCCAACTATACTTTGGTTAGGAGTGTTCCTTTTACTTTCACTTAAGTATAAATAGAAAGATGAAAGTAAAAGGAACACTCCTAACCAAACTATGCTTGCACCCTGATGCTGTTACAGATGGTACAATGTAGTTATGTGTCTGATGGGATTTGAACCCATGACACTGCGGGAAAAACTCTGACGCCCGCCGGGCTTGCGCCAACGTGACGTGAGCCACGGGTTGGCCCCATTTTGAAGCCAACCAAATTTCAAACCCTGGCTTGACGAAAGCCATGGGTTTGTTGAAGTCAGCCAGACCATACCCAAGATCCATCATCCAACCCAGCCAAAATCGGATCTCACCACCCTCATTCACCCAAGAGCGTTTATGATCGACACTGCCACCTTACCAAGAACAATCAAGAACGCCTGATCCTGTCTACATTGGTAGAATCCTCACACTTTGCGACTGACAACCGAGGAAATCTAATCACACTTACGTCTGGCATTACTCTCACCACACAAGAATGTGTTTCGCAAGTCAATCAGACTATAAAGTGGCCTGATTCCTTCGTACGTTCCATTCTTTTTTTGTCCTAACTATATCCAACTTTTCAAATCACTTCCCATCTGTTATGGACAGACTTGGGGGTTTTCGGCGACGAGGGTCAAGGGAGTTCTGGTGAGGATTTGTATCTATTACCAGTCTTCCTATGTGGATTGTCGGATGAGGGAAAATCTGTACAGGCAATGTATCTACAACTATAAGATGGTTCTCGAGCTTGTGACATGTAATGTGAATATGTCACTCAAGTGAAATAGAACCAGTTCATAACATTATCCCCCCTTTAATGCCCAAGCTTCCTCTTGCAAGCTCTGCATTCTTTCCACGGGCTGCGTTAAAAAACCCAGTGGGAAAAAGCATAGCCCTCTCACTTCTTCCGCCTTCTCCTTTTGTACTTATTTGTTGCGTCGGGATATTTTAAATTAAACTCATTAACTAAATCTTGACTATTCTTGAGGTTGATTTCGGGTTCCCATGAATTGTTTTCCTTGCCAAATCCTTTCCAACTCACAAAGTATTCCTTCTTGTTGTACCTTCTTCTACAATCTAGTATCTCGTTGACTTCCCATTCTTCTTCATCCTGTATTATGATTGGTTCGACTGGGGGTTGTTTTCGTTGATGTATTGTATCCGGGTTATGTTTCCTGAGTACAGAGACATGAAATACAGGATGGACGCTTTTCATGGAAAGAGGGAGATTCAATTTATAAGTAGAATTTGATATCTTTTGGATAATGAAGAAAGGACCTAGTCATCTATTTTCTAATTTTGGGCTTGGCCTAGTTGTCGAAATGTTTCGTCCGTTCAACCAGACTTGGTCTCCTACTTCCCATCTTGGTGTTTGTTGTACTCTTTTGTCAAATTGTTCTTTCATCTTCTCTTGAGTTAATTCTAAACATTGATTTAATTCAGATTGCACTTCGGCGAGTGTTTGCATCCTCTTCTCTACTGCTGGCACACACTGTTCAGCTGATGGTACTTTGTTGAATGATGGGTTAAATCCATAGTTAGCTTTAAACGGTGAAATGCCCGTGGATTCATGGTCTTTGTTGTTATACGAGAACTCAGCTGTGGGCAGTAGACTTTCCCAATCGTCTTGTCGATATTTAACGAAATGTCGTAAATATTGTTCGATTACTTTATTGACGATCTCGCTTTGACCGTCTGTACGTGGGTGGAAAGCGGTTGACGGGTGAAGGCGTATACCTAGGCGTTTGTCAATTTCTTCCGTGATCTGTGAAATGAAAATACTACCCCTATCTGAGATTATCGTCTTGGGAGTTCCATGAAGCTTCCATACGTTCTTCATCATGAGATCTGCTAGGTCTTCAGCCGACATTGATTCAGTACAAGCAATGAAATGACTCATTTTCGTTAATCTATCCACCACGGTTAATATGCTGTCGTAGCCGTTTGATGCAGGGAGGCCGGTGATAAGGTCATATGAGATATCCGTCCACGGGCCAGCCGGTATCGGTAATGGCTCCAGAGTCCCAAAGGGTTTCTGTGTGGTTGATTTAACCCTTAGACAAGAGTCACAACCGTCCACGTACCTGTTGACGTACGCTTTCTGAGATGGCCAGATGAAGCTTCTCCTGACCAATCCGAGAGTCTTTGCTCGACCTGGGTGGCCCGCAAGCAATGAGTCGTGTCTGCTTCTTAGTATTGAGTATTTGATGTCGTCGACGTCAGGTACCTCTATTCTACCTTGGTTGTAGAGGATACCATCTTGTACTTTGTAATGCTTCAAAGCTGCTTTCGTCTTGGCTGATATCGGGTTCAAGGTTGTGTTCATCAGTTCCCCTATCCTGTCACACTCTTTGCTTGCGTCTCTGATTCGTTGTATAATTTGATCATCCGTAGGAATGTCCGGTGCCTTAGTGTCAGTTTCAGCGATGCCCAATACATCCACCTCAAACCAGTGCTCAGAATTGTCGAGTGCAACCAATTCATCTTCGAAGAACCCCTCTACGCTAGCAAGCTCGACCGGGAACGTGTCTGGGCCGATGTTTTCGGGTCTTAACAACTGGCCAAAGGTCAATTTTTCCTCGTTAGTAGGCGCCAGGTCCGGTCTTCTAGATAAGGCATCTGGTTTGGTAGCTTTACTGCCGGGTCGGAATTTAATCACGAAATCGAAACAGCCCAGTGTCTCCGCCCATCAAGCCTGTCTGCGGGTAAGCTGCTTGGTTGTCATGAAAGACTCCAGGTTACGATGGTCCGTGTAGACTATCACATCTAGGCGGTTGGGGTTTCCCTCCAGGTAGTGGCGCCACTCTTTGAAAGACGCGACAATCGCCAGTAGTTCCTTATCAAAGATCTCGTAGTTCCTTTCAGCTTGGACTAGTGATCTGGACAGGTAAGCTACTGGGTGGAGTTCTCCATCGTCCTCGCTGCGTTGTG